CTGTGGGGAGTGTAAGTATCCATGTGCATGTGTCTCAGAGGTGGATTAAGTCATGTAGCACTGACCAAAGGCTATGTGTTTGTGCTCTGACTCACATTAATAAAAAAACACCTACAACCACATTCACGATTACAAGAAACACCCACAGCCACATTGACGTTTAAAAAATACAACTACAGCCACATTCACCATTAAAAAAAACAACTACAGCCACATTGACGTTTGGAAAAAAACCTAGATTCACGATTAAAAGAAACACCTACAGCCACATTCACTATTACAAGAAACACCCACAGCCATATTGATGATTAAAAAAACACATACAGCCACATTCAAAAAACCCACTTAGAGCTATATTTAGACAAGTGACCTATAGGCTACAGCTTAAATGTCTATTTTTCGTGACTTCCTTTTTACAGAATGTCCATTTTTAAAACGTCTTTGTATCTTAATAGTGTTTTAAACCATGAATAATGTTTTTTGTAAGTAAGTCAAACAAGAATAATGTCTGGAACCTAGAAACTAACCTAACAACCCAATATAATTATTATATTGTGTTGATAATGGTTTCACTGTTTCAAAATAACTGTTTCAATGTGCCGTCACTTGCTTCCTCAGATGCATATGGGATGTGAAAGAAGACATTTTTTAGTATGAAGTGAAATAAGGATTCTTGTCTTTAAACCATTTTATTTAAAATATGGATGGTTATAGCATACATATATATATATTTATATGTATATATATATGTATGTGTGTGTGTGTGTGTGTGTGTGTGTGTATACAGCTATGACTGTTAAAAGGACAAAACCATTGAGTTAGTTCTTGAACTACAAATAAATAGAATTTTACATTTTTACATTTAAAAAATCTGATTCAGGTAGTTGTTGATTTCTATTTCTTTCAGTACAATAAAAAAAAAGGCTGCCAGAAGTGTAACTTTCAAATAAATAAACTTTATGTTTTCTTTAATGGACTGCGTGATTTGTATATCCCTAGAAAAAAACATTAGACCAATGGTCCCTGGGAGAGTAGTCTAAATGATTAGTATACTGGTAAAACATTTAAAAGACAAAGCCATTGAAATGAAAATGTCCTTACTGTATATTACAGCATGTTTTATACATGTTTTACATTACGTTATGTTCCTCCCTGGATTGTGTTTCTGACTGAATCTTGTTCTACAACATTCAGAACCCTCCTTCAGTGTTTGCTCTTACTGTGTTTATCTTGGACTGACTGCACTCTTACATGGAGTTGATCTACACTGCAGGAGTGAAAACATGCACAGAGAGTTGGTGGAATCAGAGACATTACTTATGAGTTCCATAAGCTGGCATTTATGGAAGGATCTTATCCCGTTGGAACTTTTGATTTAAAACTCTACTGTGCGTATTTATGTTTAGAAATACATTGGAACATTTCTCCTGCTCTTGTGATGTCCAATCCACTGAATTAGGATTAAGCGAGGTTAAAAGGTCATCCTAATTGAAAGGTTTTACAGGCTGCCACGAGGATCTTAAAACAAACCTCTTGGTCATCATGATCTCCTGATTTATTGCTCTTAAGTTGGAAAGTGTTGATCACTTTAGAATCTTTATTTGCATTTGTTTTATAATAAGTTTAAAAAATAATATCCGTATATCTTATTTATTTGTGGTTTGAGGAGCTTCTTCTTCTAGTTAGCATAAAGAAGAGTTTAGGTATATTGATTTCTTAATAAATGTGTCTTTATAAAGCTGTTTTCATGATAGTTTCAGATGCAGGTCTTGTCACTTTGACAGGGGAAAGACTAATTGACACTTCTGTGCTAAATATGAGGAAGTTAAATCATTTGACACATCACTGACTTCAAGAAGAACATTACAGAATAAGTGTTCATTCAAAGTGAAGCAACACAGAACCGACATTTTGATGATTGGTTTGTTTTCTTGGATTTAGAGACCAAATATACACAAACTAACTTTGCAACAACCATTTGACCACTTGCATGTGTTTAACAACATTAGTTTTTTTTCACAACAATCCAACTTCATCTACTGCCATGATGACTTAGATGTCTTCATGCTGTAAATCCCTAATTCTGGCAACAGCGAATACCCCCTGCTGTCTTTGAAAAACCACATTATAGCTTTATTTGTGTGACGTAACGTGAGGTGATGTGAGGTGAATAGAAGCTCCGAGATGTTCCGTGATGACAAATGTCATGATTTGTTGATTTCGGGCTCAATAGAAGATGCAGTTGGATAGGCATCAAGCCCCAAGCGAGGGAACAGTGTTAAAAGGCTGCTGAGTGCATCCATACTGTACGTGTGAGGGAGTTGAAAAGACAGCTGACACTGGGGACTGACACGCACACAAATGCACACACACACAAACACACACACACACACACACACACACACACAAACACTGTCTTCTTAACTGTCATCAAGATCGTCACTTAAGGACCAATCAAATGACTTCTGCCTTCTATTTAAAACATAAAAACAACATTGCACTCTTAGGCCTTTATAATTTGACGAACTTCACACTAGTTTTGATCATTTAATGCAAAAATAAAAGAAGTCAACATATCAGAGGCTTGTAAACAATGTGAAGAGGTCAGAAACTCACCTCTGTTTTGTCTTTGGAACGAGAGGAGCTCTTGCTGGAACTGGCGCTCTCTTTGGCCGGAACCACAGTTATCTGTTGTATTGGCATGTTGCTGTTTCCAGGCAACACTCCGGTACTACTCCCACAGCATTCCCAACGCAATATGCCTTCCTGTCCTCCGCTCTGAGTCCGTGCGCGTAATCCTCTGTCCCATCCACAGGCTGTTTATAACAATACGGTACAGCGCTCCCGGATCACCTCTTCTTTATCAGCCCAATCCGGATCATCAAGTGGAGCAGGGATGGAATGAGTTCAGGTCACCGTGGCAACACGGAGACAGCGCTGAAGATGGTGGGGTGTGAGGTCGCCATGACGACTGGGAAACTGTGTGCACCTCTCCTGTCCCTCCTCCTCCGCCTTCTCGTCCTCCACTGCCCTCCTGCTGGGGGAGAGAGAGAGAGAGAGAGAGAGAGAGAGAGAGAGAGAGAGAGAGAGAGAGAGAGAGAGGAAGAGTTGAGATGGTGGAGCTGAGCATAAACAAGGAGGCAGGGAATATGCTCGTATGTGTGCATGTGTTTGTGTGTGTTTTTCTCTCAGGGGTGGAGCCATGATTTTGTCGTGCTTGCTGGGAAATAAGCATACGGTCCATAAGGATTAGGGCTTAGACTAACCTCAATCTCCTCCGCTGACCAGTGCTGCTGCTAATAAGCTTATGCAACCTGTGCACATGGACAACAGCATCACACACACACACACACACACACCCCACACACACACACACACACACACACACACAACCTTAGTCTCAAAGAAAACGTGTGGTGTGTGTGTGTGTGTGTGTGTGTGTGTGTGTGTGTGTGTGCTCAAGCGGTGAGGGTGTAATCCGGTTTCAAGGGGTCTCAGGCAGTGAGGATTATGTTTGATGTAACTAGATGTTGTGTGACTTCAGAGTGATCAATGACGTGACAAACTAAATAAAAGTTATACAAGAGCGTGGACTGCGCACTGACACGTGTCCACTTCTTCCAAAAAAATAATTGTTTAAGTTTTACTGTCAGACCAACCTATTAATCCATGGACCTTAACTAAGAGATGTCACCCATAGAGTTCTGAACTGGCGTTTTTAAGACAAGTGATGTTGGTTGCCATGTTGGAAATTTTATCTCCACCTAACTTTTGATCAATCTAGAAACAATTAAGGGGTGGAGCTTAGAATGCACCCTCCGTCAGTCAACCCAGGCACGCCCCTTATTGTTTAGCTGTTCATTAACTCTTAGCCATTAAATATTAAAAACTCATGAATTATGTAAAAATAATCCCCTGTTCAAAATTACAGAAATTAGCTATTGAGAGCAAGATCATTTTTCAATCAGTGTATACTGCTGCTATCTGCTATCTTACATTTTTTGTATGTATTTGTATTTTCTTATTGTTTGTGTTGATTGTTTATGAAGATGTAGTTTTCAGGTCAAAATTGAAAACAAAAGAATTAAGTCAATAAGCCTTTTACCTGATCTTGTTAATGATAATGTCGCATTCCTTCCTTCTCTCAATCGGTCAACAAATCTTTATTAGTATAGCACCAACTGAACAAATGTTATCTTAAGACATTTTACAAAAAGAGCAGATCTAGACCATGATCTTTGTTATATCTTGTTACATCACTATTGTCTCCTGTTTGTTTGGTGCCACCACTTGCAAGCTGCAGCAAACCTTATCTCAAAGCTCTGAAGTTGTCAAAAGAGGTTCTAAATATATATGGGTGTAAAAAGTATGTTAGCCACATCCTTTTGACACATTTGCTCTCATGCACACTGCACTGAAAATTGGGAAGTCTAGACTCACATTAACACATTAACACTTGTAGCTTGCTGAAGCTTCAGCCCTAAAGTGCATCTAAAGCAGTTTCTACGTTTAGTCATGATGAGTTCATACGGATTTAGGTAGATGAAATCTTTTTGCTCCACTGTAAAAGGAGCACTACCACATCACAGGTTTTTTTTTTACAGAAAATCGTTTGAGCACTATCTTCCCCTATGTTTCTATTTCTGAACCGCACATGAACGTGTGAACCCATGCTGAAATGTTGAAGCCGCTCGACCATTTATGGCTAAAAAAAATAAAATAAAATAAAATCGCAAAGTTTGAATAATTTATTCGTTTAACGTGGTGCATTTCTACTGGTTAACACACAGGCACAGGGCCCATTAATTATTAGGGTTCATATGATCTCACTTGAACTTGAGAGGCGATGTGTTAGTTAGCTCTTCACAGGTTTTGCAAGTGTGTGGTCCAGAGGGAGACACAACAGAGAGAGAGAGCGAGAGAGAGAGGGGGGGGGGGGGAGATAGTATGTGTGTGTTAAGGAAGCTGCTGAAAATGCTCCACTACCAAACTCTGGGTTTGTGTTTCAACCTAGTTTTGTTCCATTATGTGATGGGAGTACGAGTTTGACCTACAAAGCAGGTGATTTTGGATGAGACGTTCACAGTGGCTTTGGCAGTCGCTGTAGATGGAATCTTCACTGGCAGAGGTGGAGGTGTTGACGATCATGTTCTCTCTCCTGGTTTTCGCCCTCTTCACACTCACTGGGATGCTCAACGAGGACAGTGCACCCTCCAATGGTAAAACTGGAATCACGCACCAAAATGATACAGGTGTCTGACTTTTCCCATTAAGAAACTTTACAGACAATTTGTTACTTTAGCCATCTTCTTGTGTTTTCTCAAACAGGGCAAAAGTTCATGTCAGGAGTAGAAAACAAGATGCCCTTTGACTTTAACCAGTTTTCAGTTCATTTAGTAAATCAAGCAGTCTAATACAACCATGGTGGAATTAATTCTACTTCCATGAAGGTATTCCAAGATATTACTTTGTCAATAAGTAAGCTATTTAGAGGGAACCCTGTAATCAATCCTACCTCTGGTAAACTAAATCTGTTCATTTCTGTGTTGTATACATTACAATTTCATTCCACTTTTAGTTAAGTCACCCTAAATTATTTCTTTAATACCTTACCTACGTTTTTGTTGACGATGTTCTCGAAATGTATTGATTTAATGATATGATCATTTTGTACTACGTAGTTTACCCTCATTAATACTCTAATGTTGGATTCAACTTTAGAAACAGCCCCTTTATTACAATGCAATAATACTCTACAGCTTACCTGTCAGGGCGTTGTAATGCCTTTTTAGCAATGTTTACTGCTGAAACTGATAATAATGTTTTGTGAATAGTGTAAAAATTCAGACTAATTATTATATTGATGATTGCTGTAATTCCAATTGAAGCCATACTGTGGAATGAGTTCCAAATGTATCTGAGTTAGTAACTTGTTTCTAAAATGCTGTGGGGCCTTTTTTATCGTCACTCTTTAAATGTCAGCTATCCAGAAGCAGTTAGAATGTCTGCCTTGAAAAGCAGAGCCCAGTAATATTAGGCATATCGAAAGTATATCTATTCGAGTTATAATAACAGCAGTGTCTTGTTTTGTTTTTTCGAAACGCCTCAATGTATATTGTAAGATACATCTAAACAGCATTGCAGATAGCAGATCTGACAATAAGTTTATGTTAAATCAACAAAAATAACTCAATCTAAACCTCCATAAAGGTAGGTTTATTGAAGGGTTTGTTGTATTAAGCTGTGTATCTAATAAAATGATTACGGAGTCTTAAATGTAATCAGGAAATAATCAGTTTCTGTTTGATAAAATATAACAGATATGTCAAGCAATTTTAAAAAAAACATCAACTACAGAAATATCTTTATCTTCACAATTCATTTTCTATCACTGCCTATACTTTCTGTCTCCATCACCATTTATTTTTCCAAAAACACTGTTTGAGGGCATTTAAAGGGAAATCCCTCCGGGTTCTTTGTGATCTTGAATGATTTGTCTTTTTTATGTCTCAGGAAGAATAGCATTTGTGACCATGGTAAAATTAAAGGATTCCTATGTAAATAAGTAAATAAACAAATAGATCGATGATGAATAAGGCAACATGTATACAATAATGTAATAATGTATGTTTTCTAAACCCATCACAAGTTTTAGAGACTAAACTGGTTCATCAGTCATTTGATTCTTCTTTATCTAGAATATATACATACATCTATTATATTAAAAAAAATATGAATCTATCATATATAAAGTTTTGTATAAAACCAGAGTAAGTGACAACTTTTCCTATTGCATTGTCCCATCACAGAGACAACAACGGCAGCTCAGGGAGTTGAAGAGATCGTCTGACCACAGACGTCATTGACAGATGATTAAGAATGAAAAACTTCTAGCCAACCTCGTCCTTCCTGTTCTGTGGCATATGAGGACGTGGCAGCCAGAGCTTCGTATTCAATTGTGATCAGTTACTAGAACAAAGTCTGAACAGTGACCTCTGAACGGGTGTGTGTGTGTGTACTTAGTTATAGGATCCGGTGCTATTTTACCTCCAGGATGAAGCAGGAGGAGTGGCTCTGATGGCACAGTGTCAGAAAAATCAAATAAACAAACGCCTGCCTCAACTAACTGTGAATGTATCTTAATACTTTGCGACAGTATTTTAAGACACAAAGAAGTCTTTGTTCTGCTCCACAATACTTTTTTCCTGGTAAGTCTTAAAATCTACTTTCAGGTATATCTTACTCTTTGATTTGCTCCACAAGAAATGTATCATCTGTCATGAAATGCTAGTTTTTTTCCCACCATAAATATCTAGTTCAAAAACAAGATATGTGCATGTAGGATCTTGTTGAGCTCTGAAGTTATTCTTCAGGAATAATATGTTTGAATCATTCTTTTTTAAATTTTCACCTGTATTGATAGGTCTGCTAAAGATCAAGAGTAAATGTAGGGAAGAGAGAGGGGAGTAGACATGGATGAGGACTAAAGCCTCTGTTTATGTGAAATTGAATCATTCTTGCCAGCTCATGCCAGGTGAAGCTCTTATGATGGAGCAAATCTAAAGCAACAAAATACAGTGTGAATCACAGGCCATCTGAGTCATTCAGTGTTAGGTGGTAATGTGCAGCATGATCATCTGAAACTAAAATTAGTGTTTCAAGAGTGTTTTTACCAATTTACTTACCTGAAGAGTCAATTAGAGCAATGTTTAGATATGTACGCTGATTACTTTATGGCTAACATAAAGCAATCAGCAATCATATGAGAAAGTTTGTTAATTTAGACAATTTAGGCATTTTGGTTTAAGGTAACTTTGTCATCTAACATCATCTAACACAATGTACTGCTAAGTTGGTTTTACAAGGATAACTTTTTCAAATGGTACTTGTAAAGAGATGATTGTAGCTAAGCCATAAAGCTCTTCCCAGACCTGAACTGGGTGGGTAAACTGAGGATGAGCAGTACTAACACAAACAGTCTTAGGTAATATCTAATTAAAACGAGGTTATAAGGCCCCCTAGTGGCACAGACAGATACTGCACCGCATGCTGTGTGTCTGCAGCTCTTGTATCTAATGCAACACAGTGGCTATGTGCTGTCAAACAGTAAAACGAGCTTTCACTCTGAATTAAAGACTTGTCAAAACTTAATTTTCTTTACATATAGTATCTGTACACTATCCTGGTTCCAAACCTCTAATTTGCTGCCCAAATCTCAGATTAGTAGCAATGAAACGTGTGCTTTGTGTTAGGTAGGTGTGTAGATGGAACTGCCGTTCACTGGCTTTGAGCTGACCTTCATCATCGTTGCCTTCGTCATCTTCTCTCTCTTCAGCTTGGCTTCAGTTTACTTCCAACCTCAAGCAGCAGATCCAGGTACACCATCCTCCTCCGTTGTATGACACACACAAACTTGTCAGTGTCAGCTCTCCTGATGGGTGTCTTCTCTGTTTCAGAAGAAGCTGTCTGCAAAGTAAAGAAGCCAAAGAAATTTAATAGAAAGCAGAGAGTGATCATGAAGCTGGCTGGGCAGAAGCCAACGTAGCAGTCACAGATCTCTTGCTTGATCTGTAGCACCGCAGGATCCTTTCATGTACTCTGGAATTCTTAAAACTACCTGACAGATTTTATTTTTTGGTTGATTAAAAAATGTCATTATGGCATATAGTGTTAAGTTTTATGAAATAAAGGCTATACCTAATTGTTTCCCCCATGAAAATGTAGTTGCCCTCTGTGCAGTACCATCTCATACAAATCTTGAAAATGTCCACTTTAATAACTGTAATGTATTTACATGAACACAATTCAGCAGTGGTGAGATGTTACAAGACATAATTAAGTACATCCTTAGTTACACTTCATCATAGAGGTAAATAAATTGTACTTTCATTGCACTACATTCTTCATACAGTTTTTCCCAATGCACTTTGTGTATTTGTGACTACTGCTTTCTGCAGCATTAAGGCCAATATTCAGGGTGGATACCCAGTTTGTGTGTGCAGAGCAGCCGCTGTGTCTGGGTTAGGATTTAACAAACCAAGTGACTTTTGGCCCCATTGGGGGGACATCCTGGGGAGGTTAGAGACTGCTCCCTGTTGAGTTTGCCCCTTGCCCCCTGAGCCCTCCGTCACTTCTTTGCAGTCAGCCGTCTAGTTGCCATCACGGAGGGGAGGAGCCACGTCAGAATAAAGACCAAGTTAATCAACCATCGTGAGATTCTATCTTTCTCTTCACGGAGAGCAGAAGAAAAAGAGAAAAAACGCCCGGCTCATTTGTGTTGTCTGATGTGTGCTGATGGTCAGGACTCTTTGTGTGTGTATTGGGTGTTCCATACTGTTCATGTGTATGTGCATCCATTGGGGTCTGTATTGGGCAATTGGAGATAAAGGGTCTTAAGAGTAATTAAGCTCTGGCAGGCAGTGGCCCTCATTAACACTGACGACCTTATGGCATAACAACAGAGCAGCTATCAGTGTAACGACAGCCAACGAACTGACCCATCAGATCACAATCAACACTCGTACACACACATGCACAGACTGTGGTCAACACCCCAAAAATCAGACTTCGCGGCACACAACATCTCTGCTAATCACTCTTTCACAACACCTTCTTCTGTTTTCCCCTTGATAGGTGGGTCTTAAGAGAGAACTGCAGTCAAAACAACTTTAATTATACTTTTGAAACACTTTCTATTGTTAACATTGTATGTAAACACATACAAAGTAAAATTACTACAAATAAGCCAAATACTGCAAACAAAGGAAAGTTTTCAAGATAGAATAACAAGCTTTCACTAAATAAAAAAGAGAGAGACAGACACCATACACGAGATACAAGGTGAGAAATATCTGATGTGTATGTTAATGTGTGGGAAATATGTATAAAACATTCTTTTACTTGTAAATTATTGTATGAAATCTTGTTCATTGGGTCCACAAATGTCAGAGAATGGTAAAGAAGAAAAAAAAGCAATCGCAACTTCCCAGGAGCATCTGTGACGCAATACCCATATTTCTGTCCAACCAACATGCTAAAAAGCAACGATATTTAGTTACTGTCATACATAACAACGCAGACACTATCTCCTTATGACAAAGGTAAACCAGCAGCATTTCACGTTTTTGCTCCTCACAACTCATCAATTATCACAAAGAATTAAACCCTTTTCCTACGCTAACCTCTAGAACAGTTTTTATACCATGAATATGCTTTTTATGAATCACCAACAGCAAATATTTTCTACATATTACCTCAATTACGTCGTCTAAAACAGACAAACTTTGATCTTAGTCGAAAAGTATCCAATCAAAAGTTCAAATAAAAAGGTGATCAGAAACAGAAACAAACGTTTCAAACATCTCAGCTGGACAGATGTCTCAACTGGATTCAGCCAGTGAAAATAATCCTGTTACTCCATTACCCTGATGCCAATATGATTCAAGATCATCCTTGAATGAGTTCTGCTGCCCAACTAGGTCTAAAGCATGAGAGATATATTTCATGACAATATTCTGATAGCAAACAATCTATTGTCTTAATGTGAATGAAATGTTCTTTACAGTCATCAGTAATAACCCAACTGAACACTGAAGCGAGATTATGATCTATAACATTGAACACATTTAGGTGGAGCAGCAACAGTAGTTTAATGACATCACTCATTGTAGACAAACTATTGACTTAAGGTTTATCATGTCATATTTTCAGGACACTCCTTCTATTGTTAGCCTTTTAAAGTTAAGCTTTCTAATTCCCCCCCCCGACTCTTAAAGACTCATCTCCCTCCAGTATAAAGATGAGTGATGAGAATCTCTGCCCAGAATCAAATAAAGCTGTTCTGAAGACTCAGGTTGGAGCGACACCTGACTAGTTTTTTTTGTCTCTAACTTGTTACCCTTCTGTATTTGTCTATGCCATGAGTTCTTGTGTACATTGCAGTTTGGTTCAGCAGAGTGGAAAAGAAACAGAGTGTTTTTATGACTCACTGTTCCTCTCAAGAAGTTTTATCAGAGAGGAAGCTCTTTTATCTGTTGGTCCTGGTCAGGAGATGATGGGGAGAGAGAGGGAAGAGTGACAATTCAGGAGATGAGGAGAGGCTGAAGCTTCCTCTTATGTCATAAAGATCACAGCTAATAATAAGACTCAGACTATAGTAGCAGTAGTAATTACAGCTATGGGTTTGCAGCAAAACTCTGTCTGAAGCAACACACTGCAGGGATGACAGAAAGTTACCACCAGTGTGATAAATTTGCTACAAATTGGTTACTAATAAAAAACACTTTTTGGAAAAAGGTTTTTCTTAAGCCTTTATGACTTAAAAAGACAGCTTAAGAGAGACAAGAAATGACGGGAAAAGAGAATTAGGATGACATGCAGCTTAGAGCCAGGGGTGTGGATCAGACCATGGGCTAGATCGGCGAGTACTTCACCTCTGTTTATGGGGGCGCTATACAAGCAGAGCGAATACAGGGAGCCTCAGGAGTTGTGACCACTTTTTAACATATAAACAATCAGGAAATTTAACAGCACGAAACAGAGCAACTGGCAACACGATACATTGTTGGAAACTTATGAGCAATTTCAAGTAAACAATAGACCAATAGAGCACAGCTCTGGGGTGTTTTTCAGACAATGTGATGTGGAAATAACTTTAAAAGTGGAGCAAGGTTCATCTGTGCAGTGCAGCCCTGCCAAGGCAGTGATGCAGGTTAACAAGAGGCTTCCCTCTGTTTGTGTGTATGTGTGTGTGTGTGTGTGACTCCCTTGTAGGGGAGTGTTTGAGCCGGCTGGGTAATCCCTGTAAAGACGTATAATCCCCAGGCAGAGCAAATATTACAACATGTTCTGCTCAGTCACATAAGAAACCTGGTGGGGAGAATTTGGTATGATTCACTTGTTTGTGGTTTGAAAAACAGAAACAGAGAGAGAGAGAGAGCCGGGTAGAAACTGGAGAAGCAGTTGGATGCAGCGGAAACCAGGTGGCTCTGAATGACAATTGAGACAAAATTAGCATATTCAAATAAGGAAAATACAAGTTTTTTAAAAGACAATGGCAGCTGATATGCAAAGTGCAGACTACCACTGAAACAAACCACATACCTCAGCTGAGTATTTGCAGCAGGATGAATGTGTGTGTACAAGAGTGTGTGTGTTGGTACGTTGGCCAAATCCATGAGGAATCTCTGTCATTTCAAGTAACATTTTTGCAAACACCATAAAGCAATAAAGGTAACATTTGAAAAGACATGATGACACTGACACATACACACACACACAAGCACACATGCCACTGAAACACCCCACAGACTAAGAGACCTTTTTTTGGCTCCTTTTGTCTAATTTTAAGACTAAAAGGAGCTGGCGGTCCAGATGCTTGTTCAAAGTCTCTGAGACTATTTTTGAGCCCCCTGGTCCATTAGTGTCCTGCTGTTTCTCTTAATCCTCATTCACATGTAATGGCTGACATTTCATCTTAATGTGTTAATTCATTAGTTGGGTGCTGAATGGAGACTCAGTCCACAGAGACAGCCGTAAGCAGACACGCTAATGAGTCCCAACACTTTGCAAAAGCCGCTGGCAACCACAGAGCTAATGCCAAGTGAACTGGGTTACCTGCTGAAAGAAAATCCCCTCATGTACCACCAACTGACAGCCCAAAAAAGTGGGGCTGGGAATATCTTCTTAACTCTCCGTACTTCTAAAAACAAAGTTCCTGTAAGTAGATTCTTAGATCCTCTAAGAATTCTAGACATCACTTTTCAATTTTGTCTAAAAGAGTCTAAAATTAAAGGTCAAATCAGAAACTATCAAATCAAGAAGGAATTAAACGAGACATTTGATGCAGTCTTTTCTTCTTCGTTTTAAAAATGTGATACTTTTTTGAAAACAATTTCACTTATTCTTAAGACAATTGAAAGCTTTTTAGGGAATAAATAATTAGGATGACAACTAGCATTAGTGGGCAGACAACTTCATGCTACATGTAAGCTATTTGTCTTAAAAGAATACTTATAACTACAAGCCTACGAACACACACTCCCCACAGACAGTCCTGCAGACAGACAGACAGACAGACAGACAGTCCCGCAGACAGACAGTCAGACTTCTTTAAGTATTGTTAGTCCAATGCATCACTGGCTTTAATTCATTCGGGACCCTTGCTCCCAAAATTCTCAGTGCAAACACCCCTCTCCACCAACACCAACACCACCCAAAACCCCCAGATGTGTGTCCTCCTCAGTGCGGGGGTAGGTAGGGGACAAGTGAGGGAGGAGGAGGGGGGGGGGATCAGGCCTCAAGAGCCTGCCACTTTCAAGTACAGTTTCTGGTATCTCTGTTCTAATCTTATAAGTGATATATCAAATTTGACTGCTTCTTCCGCTCTCTTTGAATATCTCAATCATTTATAGCTGCACACATATGAATGCATACGCAAAAAGGAGCATGCAGGGGAGTGTGTGTTCAAGGGGCAGTTAGAGGGCAGGGAGGGGGCTTCCTGTCACTTGAATTACCCTCTACATGTGGGGTCAATATGTGCAATGCTTTAGTGTGTGTGAGTGTGTGTGTGTGTGTGTGTGTGTGTCAGGGCTTTGAGGAGGGGGCTGCTGTGGGAGCCATTGCACCCTCACCCCCACCCATACCCCCCTCCCTCTAGAAAGCTGTATAAAGGAGATGGGGGGAAAGGCACCTTTGTCACTTTGCTCTCAGACACAGAGACAATCACTCTCACTGGACACACAAACACTGGTGGACACACACATTCCTCTGGGACCTACTCATCAGTCTCCTGAGAAAAGAGGGACATCAGCGGACTGAACTCTGCTGCAGCATCTTCTGGACTGAAACTGAGAAAAAGAGAATTAAACATCCCAGAGCGTCACCAACAGTCCAACTAAGAACCAGCGAGCCTCTAGAAACTTTTTGAAGATTATCATTGACTGAGCCTTTCAGAAGATAAAATAAAAAGCGGCCTATAGCCATGAAGATCTTCAACCTGCTGTACCTGCTCTTGCTGCTCGTTGCTGTTGTGGCGCCAATCTCCTCCGCCAGACCAGGTAAGAGGCACCAAACTTTACCGTCAACATTTTCCAACCAGCGCGGCAGGTGTCCCTTAAACATTTTAAGGACAGCTGTTTTGAAAATGGTCCAGGTCAAGAGTTGAAACTGCTTTCAAATCCTTGCGCAAAATATGGATAAATCAGAAGGTAACCATAGCAACAGTAGCCTACTTCTTGCTACTAGACACATTATAAATGTACATGTACATTTAAAACTTAAATTAATAAATGATTAGTTACTTCTTATCTAATATTCTTTAGGAAAATGTAAAAAAATATGTGCGATAACATACTAAGAGATGAAGTAATGGCCCGTCAATCATTATTGTGTGTACAAATCCGCACAATATGTGGCGCTTTCTTGGGCTGATTTACTTTAACCATAGACTGTAAATATTCACCTATTATAACCTATATTAACTACAGCGAACAGCGCAGGCCAAAATATAAAACCAAAAAAAATATATAAAAAGAGAAAAAGAGGTGCAAAGCCAACGTCACTGTTTCATCTTGAAGAAATCAAAAGTTTTATTCCTGAGACTCAATCATAAGAATTAGCTAATGGTTTTCTTACATTGTCGAATATTTCAGTAGGCCTGTAATAATTTCCTTTTTTTTAAATTTATGCTATAGCAAGATAACCAGAGATGGTCTTAATTGCCTTAAAAATACATTTATTTAATTGGGGTTGTTCCTGCAAGCTTAGGCGAAATTTCCAACACGGCCACAACACTGGCACACTCAAAGTGCAGCATATGTTTGAGTTTATCTAATAAACTTTACTTTAACCAGGCAACAATCGACAAAGTTCAGAAATATAGCTTATATATATATATATATATATATTTTTTTTTTTTTAATTGCTGGTAAAAGTAGAGTTAGTGCTGCGACTGCTTGTGGCATGGCTTTTTTTTTGCGCAAATTTGATCCAAGATGTTTTTTTTAAATCCGGACTTAATCTGCGCTTGTTGATCAGAGAAGCGTCAGGCTAGAGGTCGTGTTTCGGTTCATGTGATGATGGAAGGGAGAGGATGATTTGAGGAAGAGGGAGGGAGCGGATAGCCGCCGGGGATCGCACAGCGACCCTAGAGAGCCCCCTTTGTCCCCGGCTGGAAGGCACTCTGGCCTGCTTTTGTTAATCGCGGTGTTAAAACGCCATGCAAATACCCGAGCTTTATTAACATGACATGGAGTAGCAGTGCCAAGTGTAAAGAAGTGTACCTCCAGGCGTGGGGAGCATTTTCTTTCAGAGGGAAGAGGAGGAGGAGGGGTGAGGAAGAGGGAGTCATAAAGTCATCTGGCAGTTTATCTCTTCCTGGGCCTGGCTGGTAGTCTGTGAACTGCGGGAGTCAAAGTGGATTTATTAGGGACTTTTAAAAAAAATAATCAAGTGTGTCCCGGTTTATTAGAAGGGGGTAGCTCTGCTGTAAGAAAGCAGGTCCAGTCTCACTTGCCTTTGCACCTTTGACTCCCTGTTCTAAGCTGTTCACCTATGCCAGTAGTCTAACATTAATCAGAAATACATATGGCAGGTTAGAAACTGATTTATTTCTGGTTGTCAAGTTGTTGTTTTTTTCTTCATTTTAAATTTAAACTCTCCTTTTTTTCTTTCTTTCAGATTTCCTTAACCTGAGAAGAAAATACCACAGACACCACTGCCCACACAGGCGCTGCTTACCCCTCCACTCCAGGGTACCCTTCCCCTAAGGTGAGACATGTGTGCTGTTACATGTGTTTCTGTGACAACAAAAAGAAAAAGAAAAAAAACAGTAATGACCCAGGGCTGTCCAGCATTAAGTACAAAATTCAAGTTGAAGAGCCAGCAGGTGGCAGTTAAGTAGGTGTGTGTGAATAGTGGCAGAGGTGTGTATTCACGCAGAACAGAAGTGCAGACATAAATCTCACTAATGATGAAGACTGCTGCTTTTGGGCCATGGGCCATTCAGCTTTAATTTTGACTTCTGTACATGGAAAGTTACTTAATCTTATTTTGAATTTGTTTAAGCCGAAAATTAATTGATTTTTTTTATTTCCATTACAGGTTGAGGCACAACTCTGAGGGTGATCTAAGAAAAGAGAAAAGAAAAACACCACACAAAGGCAGTGTGTGGCCAAAAGCAGGGCCCCAGAACCAAGAACTGTGAACTGGAGCTAAACTATGGGACACCTTAAAAAGGTCACAACATGACTATCATGTCTTTGCAGCTACATACATTCCAACAAATGTAGAATATGTGATGTTATGGCATCCCGGTGGCCACTGGTCTGGGTTTGTGTCAGGTTGCAAGCGGCATCTCCTCTTCTTCACCAGCAGAAGAGGGAAAGACAAAGCAAAGACAGAAGGAGCCACATCAACATCTGACGTCGACAATTAACTTAAAAGCTACGGACCAAAGAGCTGGAAACATCTGAGCGACTGCAGCTAAGATGAACAGCAACTTCGGAGCATTCCTTTCAAAGTGTTTATTATGGATGTATGCACTTCAAATGTTGATTGAATTTTAAAATTTTAAAAATAAAAATATATCAATGAAGTGTGTTGTATCTCCTTTTTTCAATCAACTACTATAAAAAGCATTTCAGGATACATAATGGGTTATTACAAATCAAAGTTTTTAGGGTAGATATAATTTAAATATGGACAACTTTTACTCCAAACAAATATCTTAGAATGTGAAACCTAAAGGCCCCAATTTAAACACAGAGCTCCAATGAGAAGCTACATGGGAAAGGAGTCGTAAAAGCGGCACTCCCCTGTGGTGTTAACAGACGCAAGAGCATAAAGAAATCTCAATGGGTGGAAAACGCCAAGGGCTCAAATGATGAACTCGATATTGCGTTAACGAAGATTCCCGTGACTGTTGAAATTCAACACGGAGAAAGAAGCCAGGGCGGGTGGGAAAGACATTCACACCAAGTAATTGTTGAAAGTGTCAGCAGTACTATTGTTTGTGTTTTTACCCTACACAAAGTTAACACTTAACTGTTGCACACAAAACTTGAGATTATTATAGATTTATTGGAATCAGACCAAATACACACAGCCTACATTACTGAACAAGATAGAAAAAAAAAAAACTACAACCAATTGAAACATTTACACAATCAGACAAATAAAAAAGCACTTTCAGACATTTTACTCGCTCCCTCCTCCAACTCCTCCTCTTTCAGTTCCCCACTTTAGTGCAAATGATCTCTAAAACTATTTTGCCCCTTCTGTTTCTCTCACAGTAACACAACCGGCAGCAAACGTGGGTCACTGAGGGTCGTAACACAGTGATAAAACCCCTCACCTCTGATCTGTGACCCATGACTCCCCTCCTCCTCCTCCCACACCTCCCCTTTTTTAACTGCCCTACACTTACAGCTCACCTCCTCCTGCGCAATCTCCCCATCTCCGTCTTCAAGCCTGTGCGCACAGGTGCTCGCGCGCGGGGATTGTCTTACTTAATAGTGTTTTTATCAACTGTTTCTTCCAAGCTTGAGTCCGCTCTTTCAAAATCCACAGATCCCCTTCCTTTCCTCACAGTTTTGGAGGAAGAGGAGGCCCAGGAGGAGGTTGGACTGTGGTCAGTGCTGAGCGGTGAGGTTGAGCAGCCTTTTGCTCAGTAAGGTGTTGTGCTGTTTCAGGTACTCAATCAGGTCGGCTTGCTTCTCCACCACCTCCTCAAGACTCGAGCACTCCCTGTGACACATAGTAGCACACAATCTTTATGTTCTGTGGGATACGAACAAATAAGGTACACATTTGCACTGCCTGTCCATTAGCCAAGATGAACGCGAGCTCCTTATTCTTCCCTCACACACTATATGTTGTTCCGATGAGATCAGGAAAAAAAAGTGTAAAAAAGAACACTTGTAGAGCTGAGACAACTAATCATTTAGGTGTCGACTGGTCAATTATTTGGACCTGCGGTACTTACCTGCAGCTCTCAAGCTTAGCTAAATCCTAATTTAATTTGTTTTGTTTTTATTGTTCTTTAAAAAGGGAAGCATTATCAGCAGAAATGATTATTTGCAAGTCACATCACAGTGTTTCCTCATAGATAGACAATACTCAATTGTATAAATGTGCAGGATTTTTGTTTACCTTCATTCCAGAAAATGGGTGAGAAATGACAAATGTAAGGAAGACACATGTTTAGGATGAATCTTACATGAGAAGGTCAAAATTGACCAATGATGTTATTCAACATAAATTGTAACAGAACTTTCAGAAGCAGGAAACTTGGAGCAGGAAAAGTGCCTATATATGATGTTATGTCTGCAGAGCTGGAAGCAACACTGGGGATGTATTGTTGAGTGTAATCTTTGTACCTGAAGCCGGTCTCAGTCGGCACGCTTGTGACGCTGAAGTTGCGTGAATGTTCCTCTTGGCTCACGTCTGGTGCCGCTCGCTCTCTGTTGAACCGCATCACCTTCACTAATACCACAAACACAGAAATCAAAACTGACACTTCATCTTGCACACAGATGTTATAGTGCAGTGAGAGCTGTCCTGCAAACATGAACCACTCAGGTGAGAAACAGCACTCATTTGTTTTTTTTTACTGTTTTCCATCCCTCTGCTAAACACACAGACTGTTATATCCTGCACTTAGCTCTTATGGGCTGCCATATCCTGCACTCAAACCTCTAATTCTCTCACCCTAAACGTACACCTTTACACAGGAGGCGGGGTTAGCAGCAAGGTGTTGCTATGGGGTATACAGAAGCCGGAAGAGGAGCGGGTGCTTAAAAAATGGGAGATACGGGTGCTGTTTGAATCAAGATAAGCCTGAGGTGTGTGAAGTTAGCTGGGTGAGTGAGTGAGGAAGGGTAGAGGGAGGAGCTGCCTCAGTATTGATAAGACTTGGTGTCATTAGCCAGAGGAAATTGTCAGGGAGGTTCTAAAGAGCGCTATCTTTACTTTGCTACAGTGCAGCATCTCTGCATCCACACTGACACACAATCTAAAGAAATACTGCACATTCCTGCATAATGAAGCCCTAAACCTATGTGTGAGTGTGTGTGTGTGTGTGTGTGTGTGTGTGTGTGTGTGTGTGTGTGTGTGTGTGTGTGTGTGTCTGTGTGTGTTTGTACATACAGCAATAGTAAGCAAGTATGTGAGAAAGAGAGACATTCCAGAAAGGCAGAGACAGTTAAGTTAATCCCTGCAAAGGTCAACATTTGAGCATCACAAAATAATGATTTTCAATTCCGAAATAAGTTTCTAATAATAGGTTTCCTTTAAAATTCTACCATCCTTGACAATGTTTCTATTCGATGCTAAGAAAAACAAAACAAAAAACAAGCCAAACAGAACCTATAAACATAAAAATTAAGTTGGTTAAAAACAATTGATGTGGCATTGGTTGGTTTTAATAATATTATTTTATGTTGGAATAATATTCAAATAATTTGACATTTTGTTTACCTCCTTAAGAAAAACTGTGTTTTTAAAGCCTTTTGGGAAACTCTTTCATCAAATACTCTTCTGGAAGTTTCTTTAATTTCCTCAAATTTTATTTAGTAAGATATTTGTAGCAATCAAGAATAATAAATTTAAAACTACTTTGAGAGATGCCAGAGGTTAAATGTTGATAGGATTTTTGCAGCATACTTCAGTTGAAGTGCAGTTTTGTCTGAAAACTTCCATTTGAAAAATTATAGTATGATAACTATCCTCATAACTAAAAAAGGAATGAGAATAAGGAATCATGAACAGAATATGTTGTTCTCTTTTTTTGGAGGGGGGGGGGTTAAATAAGATAGGACAATGGATAGAATAGGAATCCAGAGAGAGGGAGGGATGACATGTGGGAAAGGAGCTGAAGGTTAGATTTGAACTTTAGACTGCCTGTTTGGAGGACTATAGCCTCAGTTTATAGAACTGCTAGGCAACCTGCTCTTAAAATGATTGCCTTCCTTGAATAATCACTTACATGATTACTATTTTGATTTTTGATGTCTTCTTCCCTTCTAAACATGTTTAGACGTTAGGGTTTGTCTATGCTATTTAATAGTATTGATTTTGTTTTCCAAGTGAATAGTTGTTATTTTTAGTTTCACAGATGTAAACCTTGTTTTCACATAAACAACTCATTAAGACTTGTGGGGGAAACAAAGCATTTGATCTTTTTTTTTTTTAATATATCAAATCTGTCACTCAGGGAGTCCAGAGTTCACACATCTGGAAACGTGTACTTTCCAGACACCAAATATCATGAATGTGAGTGTTGGGACGGATCTTAAAGCTCTGTTTTCCACATATGTTAGTGTTTGATCAGAAATAAAATCATTATTTTTGAGCAGGTTCCTAAATATGGAAAATGAATAGCGGAATTACATCTGAAAAATCTAGGTTTTTAATAAATGTTATTTCACTTTAGTCATAGCTTTTAAAACATATCCGTAAATATGTTTCATTTTCAAACCTTTTCAGGTTTTCAAGAAACCTGAAAGACCTTCCAATCTGTGGACTTGTGTGTATTCGCAGCAGGGGGTCAAAATTGGACACAGAAACCAGGAAGCATAGATGGATTGATGGATGGAAGGATGAAGGGAACAGTGTGGAGGAGGTGGCACATTTCACACACTCCTGATAGAGACTTTCACACGCTCACACGGTTGGACATACAGTGCTCAGACATGGTCTACGCAGATCTGAGAAGCTCGGATCACCCATTAAGAGGTGCACATTTCCAGGTGATAACGGTGAAGCTGCAGAGGTGCTAACAGCTTATAGTAACACATACAGTGCTCACAAGTACACGCACTGCTTGAAGCAAAAAAAATCAAAGAACCAGAGGGAAATGGATCCCAGCAAGCATGTGGAGACAGGATGAAGGTACACAAGACGAAAAGGCAGAGAGGAGGAAGATCACATTTCAGTCGTAACACAGGACAATAAAGAAATTTAAAGTAGGATGCAAGTCGACAATATGCTGAAAAGTAAATCCTGGTTCTTGGCTCTACAGGAGCTGAAGACCTGATAGAAAAGGTGCAAAGATTTGCTTCAAGGACAAACCTGAGCAGAAAGGAAGAATCACTTAAAGAAGGATGAACGCAGCTCTGAAAGGGAATTAGCAGACTGTCACTATCTATGATATGACTACATAGTTTGTAATATTGCCTGTAGAAATTTTCAATGAAAACTAAAAACTTTATGGGAGTGGCAGTCTAATCTTTCTTAACCTATGATCCTCATTTGATTTAAACTAAAACATTTAAAAAGGACATTCATCTGTATTTGGATACTTTAACTTCAGAATGTGTTTCTGCACATTTCCACATCATTTTATAATTAATGCAAACACTTTACAGAAAGACTACTTGTAGTTAAATTACTTATACTTTCAACGACTGTGAGATGTGAATATTTTCTTCACCACTGCTTACAGGAGAAAACTGAATAATCTATGACATTCTTTGTGTGCAACATTTCATTATCTCATCTGACATTTTCCCTGTCTTACAGTCCATAAGTTTTGTTTGTGACAGCGGTGTACTGTAAGTATGTAGGGATGTGTGGATGTGTGTGTGTGTGTGTGTGTGTGTGTGTGTGTGTGTAACTGTGTGCCCCGCAGTGCTTACACTAACTTCTTGCCTGGCAGAGGAGAGAGAAGTATTCTAAATTAAGCCTTTGAAGGACAAGACATGGCTTTGATGTGTATGTAGCTCTATAGAGGAGAGTGTATTCATGTTAAAATGAGAGGCAGAAAAATACAGCAAACCTCAAAGACACACACACACACCAGCACACACACACTCACAATGAGCATGCACTTCAAAGAGAAGTTGAACGAGGCCTTCCTGTATGGACTTCATAGCTGCAGGCATTACATCTCTCCTTCTCTGTCTCCTAAAAAAAGATTTTTTTATTTCCTCGCGATGTCACCTTGACTTCGCATCAGAGCGTGTGTGTGTGTGTGTTTGCTTAAAGAGGTTTGTACTGCAAGGCGTCGCTGGGTTTGCGTCAGGCCTGACTGCACTGATCTGAGCAGGAATGTAGCAGGCGATCACAGATACCCCCACATACACTCTGGATCACCCTGACTGTAAACACAGCGGGACAATGTGTGTGTGTGTTAGTGTGTTTGGGTGGAGTGGGTCGAGGGCTACCCTTTGGCTAGGCTAAATCCTAATGCCTCTTATCTTCTCACCTGCCTCTCTGGTATCTGCAGCAAAAATCAGTGCCCCTCAGCTGCCAAACACACCTTTAATATGGATTTCCTTTAATTACACATTCTTCAATATCAATATCCTCTGATAGAGCATCTTTAACTACATTTTCCCTTATTGCGTATTGGACTAAACAAAACCTTCTCCGGATTGCCAATAAATGAACTTTATTTTTGTCATTAAATGTTAACAGGTAATGACTTTTAAAAGTACATAACAGACAACACTCAAGATCACGATATTGGGTGTGAGGAAAGTACACCTTTTGAAGCTATAAAGTGTGTTCTTGTCCTGACAAGGTTGCTACATTTTTGGAACAATCATGCGTAATGAGACTGCTCTGCTTTGAACCAGATGCTAACATTTGATGGGCTAAAATTGATGCAGACATCATGCTGATATTAAGCTGGTATAAATGTAAATGCCAGGTTCATTGTATTAGTTAAGCTCAGCGGTTTTTTCCGTGTTTCTGGTCATTAACAGAAGTAACGCGCACAAGTTTTTAATCAGATGGTGCTGCTGGATGAAACATCACCAGATCACAAAAGTGATGGTTTATCCTGAAGGGAGATGCAAGTGTGTTCTGGGAATTTATACAACATTTGTTGAAACATTTCAAACAATTGTAAATCATAATTTTTTTCATTAAAATCGTTAATTTGAAGGAAAGTCAGAGGATCATCCAAAGTCTCAGAGGTTTATCCTCTGGAGACGATAAAAGTCTGTTCCAAACTGCAGAGTTCTTCATGAAATAGTTGTTGAGATGTTTCCATTTAGAACAAGGGTGGACGGACTGACTGCACAAACATCTGGATGAAGGGATGTTGACAGCGATCTCGTGGGGAAGTTAAATATTTAGTAAAGCAGGGGCGCAGATGGTCTAAGGTTAGGTCGCGCCCGTCCATAGACATCCGTCTATCTGTCTATTCCTGTTATACTTTTATGGGCTGGTGTGCACCGTATTCGGGAAGAAGAAGGTAAATCTTTCATGGCAATAAAAGTGAAACAGCTAGGGCATAGTATTGTGTTATGTTACAAAGTAATTTTTTTCTCCTGTTGTGCTTTTGTAGCATAACGTAATTTCAACAAGACAACACACATATTGCTGAAAGGGAGAATATTGAATTGAAATAGTTCCTAACTCCAATGATGTTAAAAGAAAAGAAGATCGAAAGTTAGATCAGAACAGGTATTATCCAACAAAGATTGCAAAAAAACAACAGATTGGCAAAAACAGATTGAGAGAGAGAGAGAGAGAGAGAGAGAGAGGAGGAGGGAGGACTGGGAGTTGAATGGTTGATTGTCATGCTGTCGAGTCTGAAAAGGGCAGGGCAGGTATTGTGATGCGAATGTGCTCAGATAGAGTGTGGGGGTAGTTTGTGTGTGTGTGTCTATTTGTGTAATGTAATCTACAGGGTGTGACTCTCCATAAACCACTATGCCAGAAATGGGCCCACCATGGCAGAGGTTTGCGAATGTAATGGAAGAAATGATATTGCCTTTTATCAGGGGAAGTGAATTTGAAGAGAAAACAGAGCTTTATTTATCCTGACTGGTCATATAAAACGTTAAAGATAGAAATCATGAAACCAAATGTAGACTGGTGTGGTGCAAATCCAAAATATTTGTAATTAATTGTAATATATTTGTATACTGCTGTTGTTTCCATATTCTCCATTAAATACAATGCTACAGAGTTTTGCATATTAATACAGATATCAGGGATGTGACTGACAGGGGACGAAAAATCAAGAAATCTATCCCCAACAAACACACACACCCTAAAATGCGTACATAATACAGAATGAGATTCATTTCTGTGATACATGCTGTAAAGAAGTGAGATAATTCTCATTTGAATCGAATCGTCATTCTTATTAATGGTGAGGTGAGGACAACGTGTGTTTGATAAAGTCTCCCAAAATCACAACTCTGGCTATAAAAAAAAGTTTCATTAGTGATTCTGTTAGCACAGCAGCCTCATGTAGAGAGGTTAGACATGATGAGGTAACAAATCTAACAGCAGAGGAAAACATCAGGAGCAACCAGCTTATTAAATCAATGGACATTACAAGATTCATATTTAACATGTCACACCCCAGGCTTTGCATTTAAGAAGGAACCTTACAGTGGACATCTCTCTCTCCTTCTGGTCACATTCTGATCATACAGACACTACTCGCAAAACGTATGTGAGGGCTAGAGAGCAAGCGCAGTCTGTCCACTAGTTTATTGACCTTAGATTGTGATCATGCATAGACCTTTTTTTTAAAAGGAAAGACTGTGTGTGTGTGTGTGTGTGTGTGTGTGTGTGTGTGTGTGCATGGAGGGAGAAGTCCTGTGTGTCTGTGTGTGCATTGAAGACCTGCTACACATTATAAAATCAAACTTCAGGCAACATCAGAAAGGTCTGCTGTTCTACAAAAGGGCATATTAGCAATCTCAGAATGAAACAATATTATAATTTAGTATTATAATTTACCTGTGTAATAGAGCAGGCACGGCACTGCCACCAACAGCTCCAGCCCCAGGACAATGAGCAGCATGTAGATTTCCACTTGAGTCTGGAGTCTTGCAGCCAGAACAACCAGCAGCAAAACATTTCCTGCACACAAACAAACATTTGTAGCATTACTGCCATCTTGTGGAAAAACCTGAACATGGACATATCCATGAACCTGGATATCCTACTGACATACTGACATTTTGTCAGTGCATTTTGATGTACCTGCAGAGTGCACAGTGAATGGCAGGTGCTTCAGTCCCTGCATCTCTCTGTAGAAACGCAGGTATCCTCTGCTCCTGGCCCGGCTGTGATGGTGCTGCATGCACCCAGTGAACAACAGCACCAGCACCCATAATATTGCCTTCCCAAATACAATGACGCTGTCACCTTGCACCTTACCTAAAACACTCGCACAAACCTCCTCCTGACCCACTTTCATCACACACAGCACTGCCAAACACACTGACAACACCACGTACACGACCTGAAAGAAATAAAGAATAGACCACTGGGAGTGAAGCAGATTTATGTACTGGTATGTGCAGGAGACTTAACACCAACAAGGATGTGCTAATCCTAACTAGGTTAAGAGGACAGTTGAATCAATAAAATCCCTTCACATGTGCTGTATTGCTCAGATAATGCCTGAAAAGGGCTGTCAACCCATTCAAGTTGAAATATTCTACAATTATATATAACAAGTTTACAAGTATGTAAACAAGAGAAGAGCGGAAAATCCACCCATTGAAGAAGACATAAGATACCATTGAATACCAATTCAATTAATTTATGAAAAACAATTCAAACAGTAAGTACACATGATTATAGATAATCAGTATTATATGAAATTCATCAAAAATAAACAGGATACTATTTTACATTAGAGAATAACCAGATTAGTGAGTGAGTTAAATCAATCCATGAATGTGCTTATCATACGTGCAGTAAAGAAAGCAGGCCGGCATGGTAGGGTGTCGGTATGGTCTGAAACTCTCTCCTGATGGCAGAGTGGAGGGCGTCGGCAGAAATCAGAGGCCCGTCCACCATGGAGTCTTCTTCAAGGCTTCGTGTCATATCTGCTGAGGGGCCTGCTGGCTAAGAAAAACAAGAACAAAATTAAATTAAATGAGTGTTTTTACTTCAGGTAAGCCTATGTTTTACCTTAAAAATTGGTAATTAAAAAAAAAATGTTGCACACACAACATGCTGCACATTATACTGTAAAATGACACGACTAATGCTGCACATTATACTGTATATTTACACGACTAATGCTGCACATTATACTGTAAAATAACACGGCTAATGCTGCACATTATACTGTAAAATAACACGACTAATGCTGCACATTATACTGTATATTTAAACGACTAATGCTGCACATTATATAGTAAAATGACACGACTAATGCTGCACATTATACTGTATATTTAAACGACTAATGCTGCACATTATATTGTAAAATGACACGACTAATGCTGCACATTATACTGTATATTTAAACGACTAATGCTGCACATTATATTGTAAAATGACACGACTAATGCTGCACATTATACTGTATATTTAAACGACTAATGCTGCACATTATATTGTAAAATAACACGACTAATGCTGCACATTATACTGTATATTTACACGACTAATGCTGCACATTATACTGTATATTTACACGACTAATGCTGCACATTATATTGTATATTTACACGACTAATGCTGCACACTATACTGTATATTTACACGACTAATGCTGCACATTATATTGTAAAATGACACGACTAATGCTGCACATTATACTGTAAAATAACACGACTAATGCTGCACATTATACTGTAAAATGACACGACTAATGCTGCACATTATACTTGTTAGGTGGGGGTTGTTTCTGTTTGTATAAATCCAATGAAGAAATCGCGAAACAGACTGGAGATTATAACACCATTTAATCGGCCGAGGTCAGACAACTTCATCAAACAAGCACGCTTCCAAATCACTTGACTGACAAAGTGCTGACAAAGTAACAGTGTTCACAGTGCTGCTTATATTCTGTCAAAAAGGTGCAACCCACAAATTCCTTTCTATTTGGGTGCGTCACCATAAACAATGAAGATGACATGACACTGATTTGTATACGTATCAGATGTAGACTCTCTGTCTAGCAAACAGTTGCTGACAACATATAGTTGGCTCCTCTCCATATATAGATCTGCTACTACTTAGGTGCTTCGCTCATATAAGGTTACAGCTTCAGACACCTAAAGGTAGGAGTGTTAACAGGTGGTAGACAGACTTGAATAATACAGTTCACGAAGTTACCAAGATTAATGAATTTCATGAAAATTCGTACTAACAATACTGTATATTTACACGACTAATGCTGCACATTATACTGTATATTTACACGACTAATGCTGCACACTATACCGTATATTTACACGACTAATGCTGCACATTATACTGTAAAATGACACGACTAATGCTGCACATTATACTGTATATTTACACGACTAATGCTGCACATTATACTGTATATTTACACAACTAATGCTGCACATTATACTGTATATTTACACAACTAATGCTGCACACTATACCGTATATTTACACGACTAATGCTGCACATTATACTGTAAAATGACACGACTAATGCTGCACATTATACTGTATATTTACACGACTAATGCTGCACATTATACTGTAAAATGACACGACTAATGCTGCACATTATACTGTAAAATGACACGACTAATGCTGCACATTATACTGTATATTTACACAACTAATGCTGCACATTATACTGTAAAATGACACGACTAATGCTGCACACTATACCGTATATTTACACGACTAATGCTGCACACTATACTGTATATTTACACGACTAATGCTGCACATTATACTGTAAAATGACACGACTAATGCTGCACACTATACCGTATATTTACACGACTAATGCTGCACATTATACTGTAAAATGACACGACTAATGCTGCACATTATACTGTATATTTACACGACTAATGCTGCACACTATACTGTATATTTACACGACTAATGCTGCACATTATACTGTAAAATGACACGACTAATGCTGCACATTATACTGTAAAATGACACGACTAATGCTGCACACTATACTGTATATTTACACGACTAATGCTGCACACTATACTGTATATTTACACAACTAATGCTGCACATTATACTGTAAAATGACACGACTAATGCTGCACATTATACTGTAAAATGACACGACCAATGCTGCATATTATACTGTATATTTACATGACTAATGCTGCACACTATACTGTATATTTACACGACTAATGCTGCACATTATACTGTATATTTACACGACTAATGCTGCATATTATACTGTAAAATGACACGACTAATGCTGCACATTATACTGTAAAATGACACGACTAATGCTGCACACTATACTGTATATTTACACGACTAATGCTGCACACTATACTGTATATTTACACAACTAATGCTGCACATTATACTGTAAAATGACACGACTAATGCTGCACATTATACTGTAAAATGACACGACAATGCTGCATATTATACTGTATATTTACATGACTAATGCTGCACACTATACTGTATATTTACACGACTAATGCTGCACATTATACTGTATATTTACACGACTAATGCTGCACATTATACTGTAAAATGACACGACTAATGCTGCACATTATACTGTATATTTACACAACTAATGCTGCACATTATACTGTAAAATGACACGACTAATGCTGCACACTATACCGTATATTTACACGACTAATGCTGCACATTATACTGTAAAATGACACGACTAATGCTGCACATTATACTGTATATTTACACGACTAATGCTGCACATTATACTGTAAAATGACACGACTAATGCTGCACACTATACTGTATATTTACATGACTAATGCTGCACACTATACTGTATATTTACACGACTAATGCTGCACATTATACTGTAAAATGACACGACTAATGCTGCACATTATACTGTATATTTACATGACTAATGCTGCACACTATACTGTATATTTACACGACTAATGCTGCACATTATACTGTATATTTACACGACTAATGCTGCACACTATACTGTATATTTACACGACTAATGCTGCACATTATACTGTATATTTACACGACTAATGCTGCACATTATACTGTAAAATGACACGACCAATGCTGCATATTATACTGTATATTTACACGACTAATGCTGCACATTATACTGTATATTTACACAACTAATGCTGCACATTATACTGTAAAATGACACGACCAATGCTGCATATTATACTGTATATTTACACGACTAATGCTGCACATTATACTGTATATTTACACGACTAATGCTGCACATTATACTGTATAGTTACACGACTAATGGCTTATTCCAGGTCAAAATACCAAACTTGTTGACATGAATAAACTTCTAACTCCATTTGCCAATTCATGAAATTAAAGGGAGCAATGTCGATGTCGTATTTTTTTTTAAAAAGATGTTTAAGGGATGCTTAAAAGCAAGACTGCTGATTTAACAAGTAAGATAATCTGAAAAAGATAATTTACTAAAAGACATGAGTGCTCTGACTAGCTAGCTAACCCAGGCTAAGTGCTACATGGTATTTTTGTCACTCAAGCGAACAAATTAACCGTTGCCATAGCAACCGGATAACATTAACGAGATTGTACGTACTGCATAAAGCGGCCCTTCCTTTGTTTCCATTTTATTTTGATGTTTGGCAGTTTGAGAAAGGATTTGACAGAACAACAACAAACCACCATTACCTCACATGACACATAAGGGGCGGGCAGCAAAATATCCGTATCCTTTCGGTTCCCGTGTTTTATTCTGCCGTCGTTCTCTGTCGAACTTTGGTTCCTACCTACCTATGGTTCCCACCACAACAACAACAAATGTGGCGAGCGTTAATATCCGCAGATCATCACAAGAAAAACTGTCTACAATCACACCCTGCCGCGTTATACTAAATATTATCTCTATCTCTGAGAAAGAGAAGGGAAAAAAAATCCAACGTTATGGCAAATTAGGATTGAGTTTGAAAAAGTACAAAGATTAAATGAGTGGGAAGTGATGGGACTAAAGAGTGGAAAAGCCCATTAAGATACATGTTATCATAAATTACAAAGCAATGTTTCTGAAATGCTACAGAATGTAACCAGCAACAGTGTTTAAATAGTTTAAACACGAATCAGAACTAAATAGCTAAACCAAATAAATAGTCATGAGCTAAAGGTCTGCCTGCTTTACTTGAATTGTTTTATTTGATCACGTGAGGGAAATAGTAAAGCATATATTTATTGTTTTACCTCCGGAATGAAAGAGCATTTTAATAAATTAAGATAAAAAATAAAACAGACACAATCCCATTCAAAATATTTTATTGATAAACATACACTTGCTATAAAATACAATGAACTGAGCGCTCTATTCCTCTAGGTGATGAAGCTGTTGTCAGGTGTCAAGGTAGAGGCAACGACACACGAAGGAGGGAGGCGTTCAGCTCAGACTCTGGGGAGGCAACACTTGTGATAGAGGCAAACAAGGAGAGATAGGAGGACATTGTGAACTGTCATAAATGAGGAATAATTAACAGGGAAGCAGCAAATCACTTAGCGTCATTGGTGTAGCTAGAGGGAAGGAGTAGAACAGGGAACAGAAGGTGATCAGGAGAGGTTTATCCATTAAAAATGTTTTTTTGCTGGTATGGAACTGTGCTTCAAGTCAAAATCACACATTGCATTCATACCTAATCATGCATGATTCCACTGCACACACACACACACGCACTCACACAATGTGCTGAGACCCAGAGGTCTGCGTGGGTGTCAAATCCTCCTGCACATTCCCTAGCCCTAGCATTCATTATATAAGGCACGTATTCGGTCGCAGTCAGTCTATGAGAATTAACAATGGCTAAAACATCTTAAAGGGAAAACATTTAAAATCCAAAGAACAAGTATAATAATAATAAACATGCAATCTCATTCCTGTAAAAGACATCATAAAGAAAAAGCTTATGTTAGTTAGCCAGATGCCCAAAAAAATCATAGAAATCATGATGATGTACAACATACGCAAGGAAAGTTCAGCTGTTACAGAAAACAACCTACATCAAACTTACACTATTCCATCTGAGCACAACTCACAATAACTTATTTATATGTTCTTCTTTCATGCAAAACTGTAAACACAAAAACCCATAATTAATGAGAAGGTATGACGATGAGTAAGGCATTATAATGGTCAAGCTACTTCAGGTTATCAAACCCAAACCACTTTACGTCACACTCAGAGAGGGGAGTCACGTGATCAGAGCAGAAGCCGGGGTTAATGGTCAAGATTTTGAGACGTGGTTTGAGATGTGTTGTTGAGGTTTACTTAGCATAGCACATTAAGCAGATCCTTATTTTAGTTTCTTGACTGTGCTTAGTTTGAATGTGCAAAGGATTAAACATACTGATTTCTTGATAACATTCATGCTACACATATTAATAGAAGTGTATACATGTGTACAGTTAATAAGCACACACAGTACTGTATGTGCATCTGATGTTGTGTCAGTCCAGTTTCACTCTCAGTAATATCCAGAAAGCTGTTTGTGCATTTTAGAGAAAGATCATGATTCCAAAGCTTTGCAGAGATTTCCAGAGTCTTCCAGAGCTTTCGAGAGCCCGAAATGTGAGTCCAGCTTCCAGAATAACCAATCACAGACATCCATGGTGTGACTTCCAGTTCCAGTTCCAGTTGAAATGTGGATCATCATAGTGTGGTGGGCTGACCTCTGCCTGTGTACAAACACATGAGAGGTGTTAAAGTCTTCACTTCTATGTAAGAATTATGTGGCTGAAAGTATATAGTTTATAAAAATCTGTATAAAAATGTGAAGGAGTACAATTACAGTGCTTAAGAAAATACACTGAGTTAAGTTTAAAGATTGAACAGGGTCTGTAGGAAAGTCTGACAGTATGAATGTAGTTCATGTTTTGTCTAGACAAATGTTGGACAACATCCATATGCATGTGGACGACTTTATGTGTTTTTGTATGTTTGTATGATCCTACCCCGAGATGCTATGTAGCACTCGTGACAGCTCAGAAGTCCATTTCGAATCCGTACATCTGTCCCTGCAGTGGCATCGCCCAGCTGCCCTTTACACACCCCACACTGTGGGAGACAAAGACAGTTAGCATCACTCACAGAGACTTTTTTAGATGAGAAATTATGAAGTAAAAACACAAAAGATCTCTATAGAGTGCACATGTTTTAACACAGTACCTTGAAACATTGTATGTGGAAAAACAATCCCAGTGTATCGATGATCATTGCAGCTCCTTTTCCCAGCGGCTGTGAACAACCAGAACAGAGTCTCTTCCCACTTACACACCTACACACACACACACAGGCAGCAGGAAAAGAAGAACTGAATCATCCTCACTTCATCTAACAATGCAGCAATTTGTAAGTCCTGTATGTTTGTGCCAGCATCATTACCTGCTGGGTGAGGGAGGCTGATGTGTTGAAGGGGAGGGCTGCTGTTTGTTTGTTACAGTGTCTTGTGATTCAGACCTGTGGAAAAAAAAGACATATAAACAGAAATGAATCAATGATCATTGAAAAGCACCTGTGAGATGTTAGTGACACATTTCACTGAACTCAGACAATAATAGGTTTACATACCAAACAGTATGTTAAGTTGAATAATAAAAACCCCAACACGTCATTTTTAATATAAAAGAGACACAACTCTAAATACTTCAATCTATCATTAATCATTAACACATTTTCATTCAACAGAAGAATAATCCACAACTCAAATGTTCCCCATGTGGACTTCTCATGCAATACTCCCAGCCATTTATATTCCATTCAAATCTTGGCATTCAATTTCAAAAGAATATATGGCCAACACTTCATTACAAGGGCACAAGCACGTTTTAGTTTAGTCGCAAAAAGACTCACAACCCTATGGCTCCCAAAGATATGATGTGATATAAAAGATAAAGATAAAGATAAAAGATAAAGATAAACTTTATTGATATCTGTGGGAGCAGCAGTGTTGTGAGTCTTTGTGCATCATATCTAAAATCTGACTCACTCACTTTATTGATAAGTATACATGGATAATTTATTAAAATGTTATATAATATAGTCAAGCTGTCATTTTCCCTCAAAGTCTAAAAGGAAAGATTTGACCAGATTTGGACCAAGTGGACTGAGTATGTTTAACCATAAGACCAGACTTTATCTGACTTAGTAGAGAAGAGGCGGAGAATATAACTTGTTTTTTTCCTTATTCTCTTTATTTCAACATGTTTTTTCTCCCCCTTTTCACCCTTTTGCAGCACCTTAAGTGGAAGCGTCCATTTTAAAATAATGAAACCAATGTTACTTCAAGAGAAAAGGTCTCTGAAAAAGTCAGACTGTAAAAAGGTTATCAAATGTAACTTTGTGAAGTGCTGAATGTAACATGGAGGCTTTTTCAAATAAAGAATCAAAATATAATAATTAAATAAACTCAAAAGTGGCATAATCTTAATATCATATTCAAAATCATATTTAGAACAAAAATGCAGCCAAATGGAAACTCAAAGGGGGATATCACCTTTTAGCAATCAGTGGCTGGTTCAGCTGCGGGTTTCGGTCCAGAGAAGCCGTCTTCCACAGCTCCTGTTTCTTTGGCGGTGCACCATCACATACAGATTCTATAAAATATACATCATAAATTAACTTTCATCACCCGGAATAGAAAGATGGTCGGACTGAGATTGTAATAACCTCCCGCAAATCAAAACGGATTTCTGCTTTGATCTCACCCTGGAAAAAATGCAGCTTCGAAGCATGCTGATCCTCGTTCCCTGTGGAGATTCTTTGGCCGTTAACCTGGAAGGGAACATTGTTTCCCTTTTTCTCTGTCTTTTCTGGAGATGATACAGTTGACCCTGTCTGGTCTGACTGCTGATTTAACAAGCCTGTAGGATTGAGGGGTGTCACAGTCTCCTCTAGGATCCTTCTTTCCTATACACAAAATATAAAACATACACAAAAAGAGTGAAATATTTATGATGTCTTGTGTTTTCTGTTTGTGTGTACATGTGTTTGTGTGTGGGTTATCATACCTCTTCATTATGTTTTCTCTCCTCTTCCTTCACCTCTATCTGTGCCTTCTCCCACTCCTTCTTTAGCTTCTCCTGTTCTTTCTCGTATTGCTTCTGCAGAGAACATTGTACATTGTACTGCATTCACAAAAACTCAGAAATCCCACACAAATGCATATACACATCCAGGACATCCTGTTTCCTTTGGTTTCCTGCTCAACATTCATGGAGCCATGCACATACCCCCCTTTTCCACCAGTGTACCTGTAGGAGGCGCTCCTGCTCCTGCTGCCAACTTTCCAGGCGTTTACGCTCCTCATTGGGGTCCCAGACCCAGTGATTAACACGTTTAGCCAAGTTCAACATGGGGGTCTCAATCTACCCAGACCCCACCAACAATCACACACACAAACACACACACACACATGTATACGGACCAAAAGGACAGAAAGAGAGGAAAGGTGAGAGGACAAGTCTGACTACAGCCACTACTGGAGACGAAGGGTCAGGACAGGGTCAAATTTAAGAATGAAGAAGAAACAGAGAAAAACAAGCTGACGCTGCCCGCTGATACTTACAGAAACACTGCTCTCCTCTAGTCCCTCTGTGGTAGAAAAAACAAACAAAACATAGAAATAACTGACATATTCTGAAAGAGAAATTGCAGAATATCGTAACAGAACGTCTTCATATTTGAAAGTTGTACCTGTGACAGTTGGAGAATAGTTTTGATTACTGTTTGGTGATGTAGGTTGCTGAGCCTGTATTTCCTCTTCTGGTCTCTCAGAAAACACCATCGCACCATTGACCTGAAAGTTAATTATTCAGCTCTGTGAACAAATCATTAGCTTATATGCAATTGCTTTGTCTCATACATCTTCATAAAAAAAATTATTGACCGTGCCAACAGGCAATTTAACTTGAGTCAAACTAATGATAATTATCACAAACACAGCTTCAACCCGAAATAGCTCATAGTATTGTTGATCTTTATTTTTTTATTGTATTTTTCCTCAGGCGCTTTCTGGCCTCAGCTCATGTAAATGAAATATTTAAATCACCCTGAGGACACTAGAGACTTGTTTTACATAGGCAATCCCACAAAGTGAACAGCTGAATAGTGCCTGTCTTCATCTTATTTAAGACCAAATGAAAAAGCTTGAGCATGACTGATCTGCAATAAAAAGTCCAACTTCTAAACTAAACTAATGAAGGTTAAAAGCAAATGCAACATACAGTTGTGTTTCAAACGGAAATACCTTTTTTTTGTTTTTATTTCCATGTAGAATTTTCGTATCTAAACTGCATTTTGCATGTATTGTTTTTGTTCTGCAGAATTGAGTGTAACCTGAATCTCCCTGTGGGCACATTATAGTAAATTATATTATCTTCTTTGTGTTCCCACCTAAAGATAAAAAAAGATTACTTGTGGGAGTAACTTTTTAATGAATCGGTGTACTATGTGCTAGTATTCCTAAGACCAGAGGCATCAATTTTTTTACAGAACACTTCTTTAATGATTGCTTTCAGCTTTACTTCCATGCAGTTTTAACACAACTTTGAAACTACACACATGGCTGTCCAGATTTTGGGGGAAACAAACCCATCAAACTCAAAATCAATGGTATCTCTTTGGAAAAATGTTCACCTGTGTATAGAAAATAATTAATTCATTGTATTTAGTGGACCAACTAAAACGATCCATTCCACTTGTAATATTACCTGTCCTTCACTTTGGCTATCCAGGTGAAGAGGCTCCACTACAGTCTGCGTAAGCTCTGTCACAATAGTTGTTGTGATGATACAGTTTCGGCCTCCGATCAAGGAGCTGATGGCAGAAGCCGAAGACGAGGTTGTCTTTTCTGCTTGAGGAGGTGCTGTCTCCTGAGATGGTGTGACCTGAGGTGGTGTCTGAAGAGGTGGTGTCTGCTCAAGTGGTGTCTGTGGAGGTGGTGTTTGTGGAGGTGGTGTTTGTGGAGGTGGTGTCTTAGGAGGTGGTGTCTGTGGAGGTGGTGCCTTAGGAGGTGGTGTCTGTGGAGGTGGTGCCTTAGGAGGTGGTGTCTGCTGAAGTGGTGTCTGTGGAGGTGGTGTTTGTGGAGGTGGTGCCTTAGGAGGTGGTGTCTGTGGAGGTGGTGTCTGCTGAAGTGGTGTCTGCTGAAGTGGTGTCTGTGCAGGTGGTGTATTTGGAGGTGGTGTCTGTGGAGGTGGCATCTGCTCCACTGCCTGCTGACTGGTCGCAGTTTGCTTGGAGGGAATATCTTTCTCAGTTTGTCTCGAGGGAACTTCTTTGATCTCCTGTGGGGAAGGTGCAGCAGGGGTAGGCAGAGTGGGTGTAGACAAATCCTCCGTCGCCTCTCCGTTCACTCGTACCAAACCGTCCATCTGGAAGGGGGGGGGGGGGCATTTTAGTACTTCATTTAGTGCAGGTCTCACAAACTCATGGCTACAACTTTAGTCCACGCAGTCCACATACTGTTTAGAGATTATTAGAGATTAGAAGCTTTCAACTTGCCTCGTTCGAGCTCCAGTTAAAAGTCATTTTCTATAATTTACCGGATTTATTTGATTGTTATTGTATTTTGTCCCTTCCTTAAATTTGTATTAAAATGTATTTAAATACAATTAGAATTCCCCTTGTTACACTGATGATTGGAAATCTTTTAGGTCCAAGGTCTAACACTGAACATAATAAAATATAAAATGATAAATTTAACTGAAAGTGAACATCGATAACAGAACAGTGCCAAAGAAATGAAATGAAACCAAAGATAAAAAGGAACATGCAACTATGCAAGTTGTATACAACATCGTTTAAAGATCTGTATAAGCAAAAAAAATATTACCTTGAATGACCTTAAATTGTGTACAACATTTAATATTCATATCTGGATCTGGCTCAATATGAAATATCTGGATCACAACAGCTTTTTTGGTAAGATTAAACTTCCTTATTCGGAAAAGCACAAAGGTGTATCACTGCTTATAGAAAGTTGCTCATTGTTTTGCCACTGACATATTAACATGACATGACATATTACTGGGCAAACTTTCAAACCGCACATAGTGAACTATAAACAGCCCTCACCTTTACAGGTTTGTGTCCAGCCTGTGTGCTCCTGGGCTGGCAGTAGGGTTTGGCTGCCAGAAGGGGAACAGGTCTTGGGGATGCAGATTGAGGGGAGGGGAGTGTGTGTGCAGGCTGTGCGGTGTGCGGCTGCACTCGTGCAATCTGAGGCGGTGTGTGTTTTGCATGTCCTGCAGTCACTACTTTCTGATGTGCGTTTGGAGAATCGGCAGGTTTTGTTTGAGGTTCATGGAGCTGGAGTGGCCGAGGTGGCACAGTTTCTGAGTTAAAGATGGGGGTTGGGGGACTGCTGGGAGTCGGGGTGCTGGAGGAGGCAGAATCTGAAGTCTCTTGTTGATCAGTTGACTCTGTCTCCATCTCTTCAGGTATTGTGCAGCTCTGGTCCGTTATAACAGCCTGGTCTGGTTTGTGCCTCAGAGGATCTGATGTTTCAGTCTCACTAACAGGTAATGTTGTGTGCTCCTTGTGCTCCACCAGACTGATGTCCTGTGTGGGTTTTGAAGTGGATCGAGGCAGTTTTAAGCTGTCCAGTGTTGCGTCACTGATTGTAAAGCGGAGAGCGTAGCGTTGTAAAACCATGGCGGCCTCCTCTGGAGTTGCTGCACTCCTGTAGGCCTCGCACAACTCTAACTCTCGACGCTCCCTGGAAATAAAAGTAAGCAAATGATACAAAAATAATATTATTTGAGTTAAGATCAGATGAGATGAGATTAAACTTTGACTATGTCCTTACACATATAATTAAAATCATATAGGAAGACCATATAAAACACATAACAGCATTCCAATAGAATGTTTTATGTTTCTTCATTGTACATCAAGTTTTTTGTCCGAGAGAAGCCAAAAACTGGACTGTTCAAATAAACTTTTCTTTAGTTAGGTGCCATGTGCAACACTAAAATATCACCCTTACTTTTCCTCCACGATCTCTTTGTAGGTCTTAATACTTTTCCTCTTGTTGCTGTCACCTCCTTTCTCCTTCATCCTTTTCTCCATCCTCTTCCTCTCCTCCTCTTTCTTAATCAGTTCCTGTGATGCGCTGCGGCGGCGATTCTTCCAACGAGCCAAGTCCTGCCAAAAGGTTCAAAGGAGTCAAATAATGTCAATCATATATATATATATATATCATATTGCTGTTAAAATAGTGAGCTACTGCACATAATATGCTCCTTTCTTTTATTAAAACACACTATGTGCCATCTATTTAAATATGAGAAGTCTCTTACGTCTCTCCAGTGGTCGTCCTCTTCCATGTTACACTGGTCATGCATGCGTTCATTTCGTGACTGGCTCAGTGGAGGTAAGTGTCCTCCTTCTTCCTCGTTCAGGATGTCACCCATGCTCACACTCCTACATAGGAAAATACCAGAATAAAACTTTTTAGAAATGACAGAATCCCATCACTCGACATTCTGGATCTGAAAAAGAACAAATGTCATTGATTTGTACAGGTTAATTCAATATTTTCAACACATTTCAAACACATACACTGTGAAAAAATATCACATCATCCATGACTGGAAAGGAACAGCTCGGAAAAACTGGCACCTTTTTCAAAATGAGGAAATGACATAAACCAAAACGCTCTAGTCATTAAAACTTTGACTTTTATTACAAGATAAGAACGCAAAGCAAGACATACCAATACACAACCAGTTTAAGTCCAATTAACACTACATTTTATCCTTACTCAAAGGGCAAATACACTAGTTGTGCAGTGTATGTTTTGCTCCACATTTCCACACAGTAATTTATATGTGTTGTGTGTTTCCGTAGACAAATCGCAATAAAAACAGACCAACAGCTGAGTGAAGAAAGAATTATTCTGGCAAGCCAAATACCTAAACTTGACTCAGTGACTGTTAGTTGAGTCGCTATTATGAGGGAGTATACTTCAATGACAAACACTTTTAGACAAATAAAGAGAAACAGAATCACAATTGAGTAAAAAAAAAAAAAAAAAAGATAAAAATGAAAACGCTTGATGTCAGTAATGAGTATTGTCCTGGTGATGCAACAAGCTACATTTTTAGTGTGGTTTATGAATATATATATGTTGTCCTCAAATATAATGTACGTAGAGTTTTATATGATGGTATCATGCAGCAGAAACTCAGCCAGGTTCACATTAAAAGACTTACTCTGTGTCCTCAGACATAAAAGCAACTCGCCGGCTCATCCTAAAACAATAACAGAATAAAGGGAATGAGAGGACAGAGCAGGCAAGGGAAGGAATGCGTAACAGCGTGCTATTCATTAATGCAGATTTCACACTTTGACATCCCAGGGGAAAGCATTTATTTTTCAGTTTTGCCATCATTCAGTCATTCACTTCCATTCCCAGAGTGTAATTCATATAAACACGGACTGGATAAATGCAAGAGCTAAGTCAGAGAAGAAAAGTGCTGAAGACACATGCAGAAAGAGTTTGACAGGTTTCTCACATCATGGGTGGCAGATCATCATCATCCTGCCACAAGGGTTTCTTTTGTGGTTCTTCATTCACATTCCTCTTTCTCTCTTCCACCTTTTCCTCAACTCTTTCCTCCACACTCTTCTTCTCAGTCTCTGACTGCACTTTACAAGCCTTGGCAGCAGCAGCAGGACTGGGTGGAGGGGTGAGCGGTGGAGAAAAGAGGGACTGTGTCACATCTGTGACAGAACTTTTAAAGATTGCTCTCTTTTGCTTTCTTTCATCCTCCTGCTCCTCCCTCGGCCCTGCATGCTTTGGGAGAGTCTGTACCTGGGATGAAGAAGCCTGAGGTTCTGCTGCCATGGTTACGATGCTGCTAAGATCCAATGACAAGGCCAAGATTACCAGCAGATACAGCACTTAAAGTAAACCAGGACTGCTTCACAGACAGCAGAAGACTGCAGCTGATCTGCTCTCACTCGAATGAAACCTGTATCATTTCTGGTCATTAGTCAGATCTCCCACTTTCCAGTAAACATATCTTCTCACTTGTATCTAAAGGTATGTAGTTATGCATTTTGTTGTAGGTCTTATCTGCTGCTTTTGGGATCTCAGTGTCTCTAAATACTTACAGTATCTGTTCAAAAACAGCATACACAAATTTTGGAGTGATCAGATTTGATGTTGAACAACTTCCCACTGGAGATAGAGTTGGTATGAGCACTACTAACACTGAGATGTGTGGATTAAATAGATTACAAGTAGTCATTATGACATTTTACTATTGCAAGTCTCTGTTTTAGAAGTCCCCCTTCTGTATCTGATGGCGATACTTTATTGCAGTAACAATGCTATTAAACTATCAAAAGTGTTGACAAATAATCTCAAAATCCAGAGAAGTACAAAGCAATTCAACTATATATAGTCGGCCTGCTATTATGGCTTGATTCCTACTGGAGGTAATGAATTGTAAGTGTTTTTTGGAAACCCTTAAAAATACCTAAACAATATTTCTAATGGGAGGGAGTTTCTTTTTAAGAGCTACATTTTTCATTACTTGTTATAGGTGAGCAGAGACAATGTTCAGCTGGAACAATACAAGTCATCAAATAAAACCGAAAAATATTGAATTGGTATTCAGGCAACTAAATACAACTAAACATATGGGGAAAATAAAGATTACTGTAATAAATGAAAAGTCGCAGTGATTACTTTAAGTTGAGCAGTTCTTTCAAATAATTTTATGTGATCCCAGAAATAAGTTAGATTATTTAAAAAAAATGTAAAATGTAATTTAAAAAAATAAAAATCATTTCATTCTGGAACGTGGGTGATCAAACCAAAGAAATTCCAATCCGAGGACAGAGCAGACGCTGGTTTGTTCTGTTGTGAGTCAGCAGTAATTTACTCTTTAAATACATCATAAACAGATGTCCATTCTCAGCTAGAAACAAACGCTAAAAACAAGTTCATGCCAAACACAGCCGCTGTAAACCCTCAACAATTAAAACAAACAAAAAAAAAAGCACTTGGAAGAAAAGTCACAGCAGGCACACACTTTGTTAACTTTTAGAACCAAATCAACGATCCAACCCCAGCAAATCACAGTCCACTAGTTCTTATATTACACATAAATGTAACTATATCAAGCATCAAGCTTCAAGCACTCAAACATGTCCGCATTTTACAAAACAACGACGCAGTCAAATCCAAAGAGACTTTTTAATGTTAGCACTGCAGGTCATGTTACTTGTAAACATGCTTAAACATTTGCCAGTGACATATGCTTTGTTAGCAGCTGTAGTTGACTGAAACCCCAATCTCATCATTGAAATCCAGTAAATACCTTTCAATGGCAATCTTCTCTGTGAGTTTAGGTCTGCTGTGATGTAGCAGCTTCATCGCAGACACTGGGGCAACGTTATACTTCACTGATCCAGGTACTGGGAGAAACTGATTTGCTCTGGCTGCACTCGTTTTTTGTAACAATCCAGCCCTCCGAGCCATCATATCATCCTTCTCCAGGTCAGGCACAGGCTCGTTCTCATCATACTCATTATCGTCATCTTCGTATTCATGTTCTCTGTGCGACGTGGCTCTCATCACAGTTGTATCAGGCTGAGGTTTGGGTGATTCCATAGAAACTCTGGGTTGCTGTTGCTCCACTCTATGAGAGAAACTCCAGTAGTTGAAAATAACCAATCATATATTTTGAGAAATTATTTTCAGGATTCAACCCAAGCTTGTTAGTCCCTCGTCATGCTGTTAAGACGGTTCCATACAAATCGTCGCCCACCTGACGTTCAGTTTCTTGCTTCTCTCTGCCTGCACTTCTCTTTTGCTCCGCGGAGCAGCATCAGTTGTTACCTCGCCTTGTTTGGAGCGCTGGGAGGAGGGCAGAGGCAGGAAGCGGTTGAAAGATACTGTGGCAGTGCTTTGTTTATGGAAAACTCCTGTCCTCCTGGCCATCATGTCGTCTTTCTGTAAGTCAGGGATCCTCGCCTCTTTCTCATCCTCATCCTCCTCCTCGTCTGTCCTCCGTTCATACTGAGCCAGACGTGCATCCAGCTCAGCAGGAGTGGGAGCGGTTTCAGGGGAAGAGGTCCAGAGGTCAGAAGTGGGATGGGAAGTTTGATGGACGTCAGCTCCATCTACCTGGCTGTGAGAGCATCTCATTAAGCTCAAACTGCAGAAACAATCAGGGAACATTTTGAACCAAACTAAAAAAAAAACAGGCATGAACATGCAGACAAGCTGGCCACAGTTGCCACTTAAAGTACAAAATATGGATTGTAAAAGGGAAAGTCTCTTAAGCACAAATAAATAGGGGTTAGAAAAAACATGCAAAACTGATGCAAATCTATCGTTCTACCATCTACTGGTGCAAAATAAACTCTGCTTATCCTACTGTGATGACATTTTGAGCAACATGAGCATCTGAATCATGTGAAAATCACCATCAACTACCAACATTAAAAAAAAAAACATATATCAGAAATATTTTTTAAAGTAATGAAGAATAGCTCATTCTAATAAAATAAACTTTTTAATATCACAATTACTGAGCTAAATGTCGCCTTAATGCAAGTAACACGGAGAGCAAAAACCAAAAGTTATTTTAAAGGCGTTCCTCAATCCATTTTAGACAAACAAATATGACTCATACTGCAATCAAGAGTGATTCTTAATATCCATCCTCTATGAAACACAGGACCAATAAGCAAGCTAGCAGCTAACAAGTTGCCACTGTGTTTCTACTGTTTCAGTGCTATTGGCTGCTGTATACACCAATCAATATCAATAACTGATATCTCCCTAGCTTTCTAGATTTTAATGAAACATGTAACTATGCCAAATCTGAAATCACTCTGCTAGTATTAGTAATATTTACTCTAATATTTAAAGAATTATGCATTTACCACAGGTCGTCTACAATCTGATCAGGACTTTTATTGCAGAAAAATACATTTGAGAGCTTAAAAAATCTTCTAAATCTTCTCCATTAGGAGGACTTTGTTGTGAAATGTCTTAAAACATGCCTCTGATATCTACCTAAAGAAATATTCTGGTTACAACAAGCCATCAAATAAACAAGCTTTTCCAATACTGATACAGTTGTTCTAATATCAGCCTGGCAGCTTTCTGTATTTACACCTTTAGACACAGCAGCATGTACATTTAAATTGCAAGCACATCAGTACAATGCAAAGAAGTGTATCCAAACCTCTGAATAATTAAAACAAGCACATATTTGTATTTGTTTTTAAACTAATGGAATGTCTATTTCTCTACAAACTATTATGCAGTCCATACTAGAGCGACAGACGCTGGATTCAGGCCCAGGTTGTCGTGCCTTGTCCTCATACCTGCGTTCACGCTCTGAAGGCTGGGAGCCCAGGCCAATGGTAGGCATGGCTACAGTTGCCTTGGAAAGGAGTCGTCTTAGCAACTCTGTCTCCTCCCCTTCACTTGACATGACTGTGTCTATTGGCTGCTCGATCTCAGTAACGCTCCCAAAGGTCACAACTTTGCTGTGACCTCGTCCAGCCTTTGCTGATCCGCTGAAAGGACTTCCATAATTTTTCTGCAGACAAGCCTGACACATAGGGGCTGGGCTAGCCTCACTGTATAATCTCACAAATGAAGACACACACACACACACACACACACACACACACACACACACACACACACACACACACACACACACACACACACACACACACACACACACACACACACACACACACACACACACACACACAAACAGCCAAGAAAAGAGCAGGGGGAAAGAAAGAAGATGGAACAGAAATCATGAACAACTATAGATAGAGGAAGAGTGAGGTGGATTTGATGAACAAGTTAAGAAGTGTGTATTGACAGGCGACGACAAAGCATGGGATTGTGTGTCGTGGACAGACATGTACATTCACACCATACACATACACAACCAATCTTTTTTATCCTCTCAAGGTAGCCAAAATTTTCTGGTAACTTGTGCTCCTCTGGGAACACAAAAGACTCTTTATCCTATCTAATGACATCAGCACAGAGCGAGAAAAACAAAGACAGAGGCAGTGCTCACAGCCAACAGTCGCCTCTCTCACACAACGGCCAGTTCCCTGCTCTGTTTCAATGCCTGTCAAAGAAGACTGAAGAGGGCTGAAGTGCACAATAGTGAGGAGAATAAACAAGCAGATGAGAACAGAGAGAATAAGACTAGAAGAGAAGAGAGACTACCTCTGAGGAGTTGACAGTACAAAAAAGGATTGTCAGAGAATGGGAATTTAATCTAACCATGAATCCATTTCTAGTAATTCTATTAACTGTGAGAATGCAACAATAGATGGTTTACATTCTCTTTCATCAATTCATTTATTGTATTAAAAATTCAGAATCAAGTGCCTAGGATGATTTCCTAGGATGGTTGTTGAACATTTTTGTTCAATTATTTCAGTACATAAAATGTTGAATTGTCCTTTTAACCAAAAATATTACCACAATATTTACTTGTTACTTTTTTCTGGGTAATGCAGAATCAAACATATCCCCATGAGCTGACATTTTGTTCTTGTGTACCTTTCTGATTCAAATGTTTAGAAATCCTCTGATGACAGTCATGATTCTGGTGTCTTTCTTAATGTAAATCTTGTTGTAAAAAAGTAATAATCAGTCTACATGATACTAAAACAAACTAACAGATGCAAAAAGCAAAGCACATAAAGTATGTCTTGTTCTGTTCTGTCTGGTATATAATCCTGTTACAAAATAATAAACTGGTGCTGCAGAGATGACAGGATTTAAAACAAATCTGACACGGATAAATAATGACATTCTGTGCAATCAAATAATTCAGATTTTGTCCAGGTTGACTTGAACAACATTCAAAATAAGGTATCAAATAATCCATGTATCAATCCTGTGCTGTTAGGCTTTAGAAAATATCTGGCTAACCCTGCAGATTAATGACCCTCCACTGCCTGCAGCGATCTGCTTAAGGCCGGAACTAAACCTCGAGGCACGCACACAAACTGCACAGTCATTAAAAAAACAAAACACACATTTATACAGCAGCATTAAAGTGCTTTGTACTGCATGTGTGCTGAAACAGAGTGTGTCTGCTGGGCACCTGGGTTCAGTGATCTTGAGCCTCTCCCACTTCTGCATATCTGCCTGGCTAATGACGGCAGAGGCAAAGTTCATTGGTCCGTCCCTGTGGGGGAGGGGTCTAGTCTGAGCCCGCCTTTGAGCCAGGTCATCCTTCTGCTTATTGGGCATCACATTAACCTTTTCCTCTTCTGTCTCTTCCTCCTCATCCTCCTCTTCCTTGAGGTGAGGTGTGGGGTTAAGAAAGGGGTTGTCTCTGCGTGTAATGATGTCAGGGACCGCTTCCTTCTCACTGTCCGATCAAATGTCAAGACACAGCACACGGCAAAGTGGAGCAAACACACATCAAACCAGAAGTGACCACAACACCCAAACACAGAAAAAGTAGGAAAGTACAGAGGAAATATTTAGATGTGTTAGGAAAAAGGATGAAAACAGCAACACACAAACGTACGCTGCCTAACCTGATCTCCTTCTCCTGCAGGTTTTGCTGCGAGGCTCGTCTAATGCCTTCCCAGCGTTCTCTGTCTTTGCTGCTACACACAGGTGGAGGCACAAACTGATGCACCTTGGTTGACACTTTGCCACGATTAGCTCTTCTTGTCGCCAGGTCGTCTTTGCGAACATCTGGAACTTTTCGAATCTTTGCCTCCTCTTCCCCATCAGAGGAAGAGTCCCACGCAGATTTCTGAGCACTCAGAAAGTCATTCTCGCACCGGAGGATGATGTTCGGGGATGGTGACCTCACCTCCTGTTCCTCCATTGAGGGAGGGCTGGGGTTGGAGGCAGGACAGCGTGGCAAGGTTATTCACAGATTGCTAAAACTTCACCATTTGGCATGCGACCATGAATGTTGTCCACAAGGGTCCATTGGTTAATCATAGTGCACAAGCAAACGAATCACTGTGTGCAGCAAATCAGGACTTATTCCAACCAACCATGATGTTATTTCAGGCCAGTAAAACCTTTTCTTTTAAAACTTGTAGCCAACGTGATCGACATCAAACTTTAATATTTGTAAAACGCAGAAAAGAAGCAAAGGGTTAGTCAGATCTGTAAGCAAACACAAAAAATAATCATTAATGAACCGATTGCTGCAACCTAACCAAGTTGCCCAGAGTGAATGTAGCACTCGGAAGTAAATCAACAAAACAGCCAACAATCTCTTAGTGATCACAATGATATCTGTCAAACAACAACAGCAGCTCTCATGCCCCTCCTTCCTGACCTGCTGTAGCGAACGGCAGCAGGCAGAACTTTGATCCCTGACTTCTGCAGCTTCTGCAGCCTCTTCTGCTCCAGTACTTCCTGTGTCACCCTCTCCTCTTCCTGTTTTTCCTTATTGTTCTCAGGTGCCCAAGTGACAGTCTTGGGAGCTTTATGGTGAGCTCCAGTTCTTTTGCCCTGCTCCGGCGTGGCGTTAATGTGACTAGGAAACGATGTGTAATGGCAGGGAAAGATTAGGGCTGAGGAAGTTTGTGTTGTTGTGTGTAATTAACCTTTATCTTATGTTTAGTTTTGTATTTCATATTGGAGTGCCTGTGCACAAAGGGAATAATTGACACCTGAAATGTTTATTCCACTGATACGTTTGTCCTTACCTCCGCTGCTCTCCCTCCTCTTTATGTTGTTTCCGTCGTGGAGTCGGGATATAGGAACTGGCGTTGGTTCGGTTGGGAAGAAACTGGTTAAAGGGAATGGAGCTTCTCGCTTCACTGCTGGCAGTCCGTCTGGCCAACATGTCATCCTTTCGCACATCTGGCCTCCTGCTGGAGGCATCAGCCTCAGAGTCACTGCATCGCCCTGGCCGACAGAAAGCGATGGAGCATAAAAGAGAGAACATTAGAAAATATGTCAAGAGTACAAGGTTTAATTGGTTCTTGCATAATAACCTCTGACTGTGGTGTACAGTTTAAAGACAAACTAACTCCATTTGGTTTCTCACAACAAAGTCATGTTTTCTGTGCAGGTATCAATTTTCCAATATAAGACAGGGTCATGAAATTGGACACATTAGATATTTTTAAGCTTTTATGACATTTTCATAAGGCCACATACTGTAGTAGATCAAGAGCTTTATTTGTTCCTTGCACTGCTCTTCTCCCACTAATCAACTCTTCACTTCCATAATGATGTTACAGTGACGCTAGTGGTAATGACTGTTTACATTTGATTTTTTGTTGAGTAATTTGACAGTTTGTTGGTATCATTGCAAGACTGATTGCACTAGTCGGACAGGATACAAATGCATTATCCCAACATTTTATTTCGTTTATGTGAAATACAAAAATTGAACAAAAAACTGAGCATGACAGTTGCTATGATCACTTGCTGTTAATTCTGGACTGTCTAAACGAGCTACATTAACACTGGTAACGTAGACCTTCACTTCTGTGCTGTGTGCATTGGGCTCGCATTAGCTACAGCTGTCAGGCATCTGCTAGCTTACATGAGTCGATAACAATCTGTTTCAAAGACATTTTCTCTTAACTCCATTATTGCTTCTGAAGTTGCTAGCCAGACTGTTAACAGTGGCCGATGCAAAAGGAGTTTGACTTGAAGTACTTTATCGCAACAAAAACGTTGTACTGACAAAATTCCCCATTGCTCCCAAAGGCTGTATCATCTGACAATAACTGTGGGGTTCTGCTCAGAGTGTAGGGTATTCTATTGAAGTAGGACAGCAGCTAAATTCTTCCTGCTCACAGCAGAAGTATTTTATAGATCCAGATGCTTTCTGTGGTGACTCTGATCCCTTTCAACACTGAAGAATATTTCCACTTACCGGTAATTAAAATATAATTTTGATTTTCATCTTTTTGGCTATGATTTCTATCCATATTACCGGTAATAACCAAATAAAAATTGGCAATGTTTGAAGAAAGATTAAGATTTTCAACACTTACACATAAATAGGATGTTTGATTAGGTTGTGAAATAGGTCACTGTTGACAAAAGTTTCAACTTTTACATGTAGGCTACAGTATGTGTTGTTTGAATGTCGATGGTTTTCTTTTACTACTGGGCACATAATATTTAACTCTCTATGGAAATAAAGGCTCAAGCCAGCTACAACATTTCCCAACCATGACTTCAACCTGTCATTAGCCCTTTTTCGACTGCAGGGCAGCGACAGCGGCATAATAAAAAGTAATTATGCCTTTGTACTTAAACACTGAATCCAAAGTGGTATAATATTGGTCTCCCAGTGTGATTTTACTTTGCAATGTGGCATTGCAGAAGTACTAGAGGTATGAAGGGTAAACAGTAACACAGCAGGAGCTGACGTACCCACACTGTGACACACACACACACACACACACACACACACACACACACACACACACACACACACACACACACACACACACACACACACACACACACACACACACACACACACACACACACACACACACACACACACACACACACACACACAGTCTTGCCCTTGTTACAACCTCCAAAGGCAGATCAGTGGAGGAACAACTTGCTCCAAGCCATTAGCCTCTGTGGCATTTACATTGTGGGAGTCCTAATGTGGGTGTAATCTTCCTGCCTTGAACTGGCTGAATAATTAAATAAATCATCGCTTTGGATAAAAGCGTCTGCTAAATGAATTGTAGAATTGTTTTTCTTTTTCCTCCAAGATATCAGCTACTTCTGTCACTTGGATGAGAACAGTAACCGAAGTTACAAAAAAATGATAAAATGATATGAATGTAACAGCAGCCAATTATATGAGGAGTCAGCAAGTAATTTTAATCACTTTTTATTTTGCCACCAAGGTTGTTGTGCATAAGTATATGACACGTTCTTCAAACAATAGACTGCCTGTATTCCCTTTCGATCTTTCTTGTTGGGTGATGAATAGCTCTTAGCGAGGCAGGACACTTTCTCTGTGACCTCAAGGGAATGCAGTAATGCAATCTATTCCAAGCTTTGGAATAGTGTTTTTCTTGTCACCCTGTGGCACACATTTTACTGTCAACATGAAAGACGCAAACAGGATGCCTGTGATCCTCCCTCCCCTCAAACACACACACACACACACACACCGAAAGGCAGGATGTTGACCTCAGCTAGTGTTTCCCTGGTCCAAATCTCTAGCGATTGCTACTTAGATGTACAGCTGCTGCATCACACACACATGCACAATGGCTGAGAGGTTCAGCTGTTGTCCACCATCCGCCTGACCAGCCTGACCGGCTAAAAGCCCAAAATGTTGGAGAACAGCAGTCAGACTGTTGATGGAGGAGTGGTTTTGTATTGCTGTTCTAAGATTATAGCTCAATATTTTGGGCAATACACTCATTTTGTCCCTGCTACATAAGAACAACTACATGCATGTATCTGGTTTTTTGAGCTACCGAAGCTTAACATTGAGAAAATATGCACAAAACAAGCAAAGCACTCTTGAAATTTCAGAAATAAAGGTATACTTATTCTACTTGGAAGTCATTTATCTTTACCAACCATCACTGTTGCCTCGATTCACAACATCAGGAGAAGGGCTGTTCTGTGAGCGGGAGCCAAAGGAGTCCAAACTGACAAAGACAAATATATTACTGACATTTGGGACAAAAATGGCTTTTAATCCGTATGAGCAGGGTTTGTTGCTTTTAGAAATGTAAAACTAAATGAATAACAGATGCATTGAACATTTTCAAAGTAATCTCAAATCCTCTTGGCGTATGAGTCGGGTTTGCATTCGTGTTGATGGATGTCTGTTACCTGTCTAAGGAGTTGTCACGAGTGTGTCGTGGTGGAGAGAGAGACTCGCTCCTCTCAGAGTCCCAGCAGTCGTAACCACTGTCTCTGACGCTGCGCTGCTGTGGATTGTCCCCTCCTTCCTCACTCTCCTACAACACACACACACACACAACAGGAAAATATAAAGAAAAGTGTATTAAGAAGAAAAGATGCATAAAGAAAATCACTCAAAAGACATATGGGTTGAGATATATATATGAGATATGGGTTGATAAGTGTTTGTTATTTAAAGAAAACTTATTAAAAAAAAAGTGTGTCTCAAATGTGCAGAGCAAATCTCATATCCTGTTTCTCTTTTCTGTCTCTCCCTGAAATAGGAGTGACTGTGTTGTAACAAAAAACAAAAAAAGTGTTTGTCCCCTGTCTCGTGTGTCTCCCCTGCACCCCAACAAAGGCAGGAAACTAACAAATCCATCCCCCGCATCTCCTCCATGCTGTTATCTGTCCTTCTGTCTGCCTCCCTCTGCTCCCCCTTCCTGCTCCATCCCCTCCACTGTTTTCACTCACCACCTTCATTTGAGCAAGAAGCCCTTCAAACTCCTTGACGTTGAGATTAGGGCCGCTGAAGGAGGCACAGCCGCTCGCAGCCTTCCCGAGCCAGAACACTGTGTTCAGCACCTAAGAGACAAGCATATGAAGGGTTCGGTTTATTATCTTTAATGTTTACCAAACTGACAAAAAAGGATAAAGCAAGGCGGAAAAAATAAACACTAACATTTTTTAATTTGCGGTTGCAGTCAGAGTCCCTGAGGTTAGCTCGTATGGAAGTGTCTTGCAAGTCTCCTGGGTCAAACAGCTGTGAGCCCCTTAGGCCCAACTCCTCACAGCCCCGCAGAAAGACTGACAGGTTGTCCTAAAAATGACAGCAGACGGTCAGTTTATCACTTTGAGAAACAGGATGCTTTACTCTGGAGAGTGTCCTCTTACCAGCCCAGCGATGGGGGTGGGCAGTCTGTTGATCTTCTTGACCAGCCCTGGTTTGATTGCACTCAGCAGCCTGTAGGGAGGAGGGGGAGAGGCAGAGATTTATTGAGTCTTAAAGGAGTTTATGCACGTTGTTGCCACTTCAGTCATCACAAAAGTGGGTGGGAGGGATGTCACAGGCTTACTCGCATAACAGGATGCCGTTTTCCAATCCGCTGCGAAAGTCTTTCTCTCCAAAACTCTTTCCGGTGACAGCCTATGGGAGGGAGGACACGGAGACATACTGTATGTTAAGGAGATGGACTGGAAATATATTAATAATTAATAATATTTTTTTCTGATTCATTTGGGGGTTATTTTTTTTTTTTTTATTGGTTGGCTGATCATTTATTTTTAAAAATCGTAGCAGGTTCTTAAAGCCTGAGGAGATGTCTTTAAATTGCTCTTTTTGTCTAACCATCAGGCAGAAATCCGAACATGTTCGGTTAATGATGTTCAAAAGACAAGAAAAGACACATCCTCACTTTAAAAAGAACAAAGCTGAAATATTTGACATTTTGCCTCGATCGCCAAAAGTTTTATGTTCTAAAAACAGACCAATAAGATATTACTCCTTTTTGAATAGATGAATCCAATACACCTTGGCTAAATTCATGGCAACTATGCCAACATTAATGTAAAAAGTAAGATAAGATTGATCGCAATCTCACCTGAATAAAATCAATGATTTCTTAATCACCAGATCAGGTTTTGGCGATAGCCCTATTCTGGCTGGCTGTTTTAGGCGTGATATTTTGGCTCCTATGATGTTTCGAACAAAGACTGGGATTCCAATATTAAGCTGTTGCAGAATCAATATGAATGTTCAAAGCAGTTATGACAGCGGGGCTTCGTTACGGCGCTGTTGTGGTATCGCACTCTGAAGTGAGCTCATGACTACAGTGATCCACATCACATTTATACATTTTGTAAATTACTTTATACAATTCAATTACAGTGGCCTCCATATTTGGACAATCTAGGTTCTTAGTGAATGATCCTAGTGAGATCCGCTCTGCCTTCCATATCCACTTCGCAGCAGCCAGTCACATCTTTGAGGATGTGGATAATAGATCACCCGCTCCTAGCATTGACCTTCCTCCCACTGACAATGGCTGTATTGCCACTCCAAATCATACTTCTCAGTCTAACTTATCTCCTGTCTCATTCTGTGTCGTTTTAGAGGCTCTTCAAACCTTCGATCCTAAGAAATCTACCAGTGAAGACAAATTGGATCCTCTCTTTCTCCGTCTCTCAGCCTCTTTGATTGCTGAGCAATTAACTCACATTTTTAACCTTTCCATTTCATTTCATATGTTGTTTTCTAGGGCTAAATGTGAAACTGATAATAACCTTCACATTACCACCCTGCTAGGATCCATTATCGAGAGAGTTAAAGACTAAAAAATATATTTGTATATGGATAGATGACAGACTAACATTCAAACTTCCCATTGATAATCTTACTGTCAAACTACGACAAAAGGTTGGTTACCTATATAGAAATAAAAAAAATTCCCTATGTTCTGTCGGAAAAGGATAATTGAAGCAGTTTTTCTCTCAGTTTTGGATTATGGTGATGTGGTCTATAGGCATGCCTCTTCCACTACACTAAAGCCCTTAGATGCTGTTTACCATTCTGCGCTTAGATTCATTACCGGTGATAGCTACATGACTCACCACTGCATTCTTCATAATAAAGTTGGTTGGCCCTCCCTCACTGAGAGACGCAATAACCACTGGCATCTTTTTATGTTTAATGCCATACTGGAAAGCTTGAATCATATATCACCTCCTTGTTACATCTGAACCCCGGTCCATTTTTAACCCACTCGAGAGAGAGAGGCTGGTTCTCCAGGTTCCTCATGCCAGGACTGACCTGGGGAAAACTGATTTTAGTGTTATTGCTGCAAACTCCTGGAATATTTTACAACAGGACCTGAATTTGAGCACTTTTATCCCTTATGGACACTTTAGAAATATTATTTTAAACCACCCAATACCTGACTGCAACTGTTTTATTTGATTTTAATTACTGACTTATCACTGTAGTAATTTCAAGCTTTAAAATTATTTTAGTGTATATATTTTATTGACCTTATTGCTCTTTTATTGATTTTATTTTCTGTAGTAGCTTTATCTCATTTCTCGTTGTTTATCATTTGTAAATGAGGGTCGCCCTCAATGATCTCTCCGAGAACTTAAATAAAGGTTGATGATGATGATGATGAACTTCACTTTACAAGTACACTTCTCTGATGGTATCCCTGATCTTCACAATATACGTATTGCACAGGAGAGCACACAAGATCTTGCTGTGGTGCTGTGTTTCAGTACTTTGTTTTTGGGTATCACTTGAAATGTTAGAGCTTGATTTCGATGAAACATTTTGCATGAATAGCGCTTGGCCTTAAAACTAATTAACCTTGCATTGAGAAAGATTTGAATTGAGTTTAAAAAAGGAAAGTCACTGAAAATAATCAATAGATAGTGGAATTGAATAGTAGTTGTAACCTACTATGATCACTGTCATTATTAGTTAAATATGTACAAGAGTGCTTGAAGCTGAATTTTGGCTCTTTTGTGTCACTGACAGAAGAACCTTCTGCTGCCCCCACCACCCATCCCCCAACATTTTGCTTCAGCACATACCAAATTAGATTGATGCCAAGCCAGAGTAAGATTGCTCGGTGTCCTCGTTTTCCCAAAAATGTGTCCTTGCGCACGTCACTGATTTAGTTGAACACAGTCATAGTCTGATTGCACCATAAATATAACCTCAATCCTCTAACCTGGACTCCAATGTGTAGTCTATCCTGTGCAGGCAGTAGAGGAGGAGGGAATCAGGAGGTTAGTACCACTACAACATCCCACACACACACACACACACTGCATGATGGGGCTGTTGTGTAACAGGCAGCCAAAGATGAATAGAAAAGCAGAGAGTTTTGACTGTTTAGACTTCTAATCCAGATTAGCCGAGATTACAGTTAGCACCAAAACTGTCAACTGCAGGCAGACACTCTCTCTGTCTTGCCTTTTCATATGCAGTATACTCTTATTCTGCATCTTTTAACAGAGGAGGACACACACTTATTTTGAGAATTTTTTTCTGATTTTATGTAAAACTGACCTCTAAAGGTAACGCTATAATTAGAGCAATGCAGTAATCTGAGTTATCTGTAGAAAGATATTTAAATCAAACCGCTTTTCTACTTCTGTGTTTGTGCAATTCTTCTTTCTAGTGATAAGTATGGTTTTTATTTTTTTATGTACAGTTCCAATGCACATGTACCACATGCATGACAGGAACACAGACACAAAAACACACAGGTCATCTGCAGCTAAGAAAACAGCCTATTGTTTTTTTGTTATATAAGTGATGGCCAGATGTTTCCCATTGGCATCTCTTGCTTTTTTCTTGTCTTTCATTATCCTGTAGTCTCTCTTTCACACACACACACACACACACACAACCACACGCATGCATGCACGCACGCACGCACGCACACACACACAACCACACGCACACAAAGCACATGTATGTACTGCTTATTAAGGTTTGTCTCCAGGTCTTTGAAAGATTTACAACGTGGTCATGCATAATTCACTGGCCGAGGAGAGAGCACTCTTTTGAGTGAGAGCCGTACGACTGTGTTTTGTGTTGGCAGTGTGTGTGTTTGTGTGTGGGATGCAGGACACAGACGCACTGTGGGTTGCTTCTGGAGGTGGTTAACTATTGGTTACTTGTAAAATGTTAAAACTGAAAGACAGCAATTGGACACATTGACGCTTCTGAGAGTACATGTTTTGGTTGAACAGACAGAGGACAAAAAGGTTTGCCATGATAGTCTGTTAAAAAGAGAGACATGTGTAGAGTATGTGTGTGCTAAGTGAGCATTAATGTCTGCTACAAAAACTAAGCCAGAGGCCTTGGGGGTATTTCAGTGCCAGCAACAGTAATTCAAGCCTCCCTGGCTGCCTCTCACTTCTCGTGGTGGATTGCTCTGCTTAGTCTGAGTGAATGGCACCAGCAAATCTCCATTAAAACCCTGAGGTGAGACTGTGTGTGAGGGGCAGAGGAAAAAATCCGGAAGTAGGCCAGAGAGAGGTTTGCTTTTATTTTAAAAATTTAAAAAAAAAAAAAAAATGGAAAGAGGGTTGAAAAGTCTGAAATTCAAGGTACAGCAAAATATGCACTATGCACTCCATTAAGTCAGCGGTCTTATTTCTAATAAGCACCTCATGAGCTGTTGGGAATTAAAGCGTCAGGATTTTGCAGGCCAGGATTAAAATAGGATGATAATAAAGAGCTTTGCAGTCATTTTTCTCTTTGTATGCTGGGACCTATTCCTGAAGAGTGCTGAAGATGTATTTCTTGTGGTTTTAAGTAGGCATAGGGAAATATACACTGGTCACAGTTACCCTTAATCACAGATTGGACATACACCTTATAGGTGAAACAAAAAAGAAAATGAGAAAATCCTCAAACACGAGCCCTGCCACGCTTGAATAAAAGCTGATTAAATTAAAATAAACAAGTTTATTATTTTAAAGCATAAGGTCCAAACTGTTAGAGGTGTCTTAAATGTTATGTATGATACGTATAAGCATGCTGAACATTTATATGTCCTTGCAGAAAAGCTATTTGTAGGAGATGTAGAGGGTTAGAGAACCAGTGAGATGCACACTTCACTGAGAGAGGCTGGTGTTTTAATTTGTGATGTTGCAGAAGCATTAGCCCTCACATGAGCTGTAGGCACTCTGCACTCTAATGGTCATGTGGCATACAGAGAGGAAGAGTAGACATAAAAAAAAGAACTGGGAGAGGAGAAATAAGGAAAGGAAATATAAAAAACATAATCCAGATCGAGGAAGAGTTTAATCTGGATTAGATTTATTATCCAGAGGGACTCGAAGCTGTAGAAAACATCACAGTCTTCAGCCGCTTACAGGTCATATTTGTTAAATATGAGGAACAAAATCATTTCTTTTATGTTTTTTCAGCCCTCATAAAATACATCATTTTCTTTGTCTTTATCGCACTATAATGAAACGTATGCTACAATGAATTTACAGTTATATATCAACTAAAGAGTAATCAAACAGGAGGGGTACCAGACACATCTGCCAGGGCAAAAAAAAATACCCATGAGCTTACAAATTTGTCTGGTTCCCAGGCTATATTTAAGTACAAAGAGTACAAAATTAGGTTAATATTAATCTGATTGCTGTATCTCATGCAGTGTTCTTCTATTCTCAACGCAGTATAGAAAGGGCGCTCATTTTTCACACAGATTAATGCCCAAGTTGTGTCAACACTAACTAATGTGTTCCAATACTTACAGCATATTATAACAAACCCTTCTACAAAAGTGTGCAGCCTCCTTGCCCTCTGTAAAATGAGCAACATAATTTGTTTTGCCTGCAGCAGAGAGCGCCTGTGCAAAAACTTAACATAACCACTAAAGCATGAAAGACATCTTTGCCAACAGCAAGTCTGTGTCATCATTATTTCACATTCCTTCAAACTGAATTTGATGCATGGAAAACCCCATGAATCCCCACTCACACTCTCTCTCTCTCCCCTGTGCAGACACAGCTGGCTGTCTGGGACCATTGGAGTTAATCTGCCCAGGACAGCTGTGACATCTGGCGCGCACACACAAACACACACACACACACACACATTTGTTCGGTCACATACATTCTTTCACTATTCCCTGTGACAGACCTTAACTCTTGCTATGTACAGTATGCGGGTGACAGCAGAGGTTAAATGCTCTCACTAAAGTTAACTTTGTTTTCTCTAAGCCTGTACAACTTTAACCTGTTCAAATCCGTAACCAGCGGGTTTAAAGCGCCTCCCACAGCGTGCATCAGCTTTGAGACTGCCTAATCCCGCCTTGTCTCGTATCTAAACAGATAGAAAGGTGTTCTTCGTGGCAGTATAATTTCCTGCCCGAGTCATGTGGTGATATATAGCCTACTGCTCTGCTGCCTAGCCCTCCCTGGAAACAGTGACACCTGAGAGCCTGTCCATGTTATGTTCCCATAGTGACCAATGTCACCCAACCAGGGTGTGTCTGAGGAGTGGGTGAGCAAAATCATGCATAACTGATTGGCATGGGTCTGTGTTATACTTTGCATACTCTTACGGACAAGGCAAACACACACAGACAGGAAATGCTGCACGGAGCGTGGGGTCAGGGTGCCAAGGGTTAAACCTGAATCATCCCCACCTGTGAGAGGGTGTAAATGCACCACTAGAAATAGAGTCAGACTGACTGGTCTGAAAATAACTGGAGAATTAGGAGACAGGAAGACGACAAAGTAAGAACAACACTGAGCAAAGAGCCCGCAAGAGAGATTAACACCAAGAGGCCAGCATTACCTTAACTGTTTGTTAACAGCAAAGTTGTATAGAGGACAGTGTGTTGAAAACAAGACTTAATTTAAAAGGTTGAGTTTAGTATCTATATTGGTTAACCAAGATATCATTTTGAATATTGCACTGATGCAAACGACAGTTGTTTCAGTGTTTCTGAAAAACGAGGCTGAAAGAAAATAATTTGCTGTCTTTCACTAAAATGGTAAGACTCAGGATGCAATGCAGAAAATCTTTGTTGTGCTACTTTTATTGGTGGGGAGGAAAAAGTCATTTTTGTAAGAGCACATGTTAGAAAACAACCAAGCACGTATGATTTTATTCTGGTGATACATTTAAAGAGATACCTGCAAATGAATGCAGATTGATTTGCAAGTAAGATTTTGGTAACAGAAATATTTTGGTTTTAGTTTACAGTCCAATTGTAGTCCAAGTGGCAATGACCAAACATGTTTCAAGCGGGCTGCATATGAATAGATTCCATTTAGAAAGCAAGCATCTGAATGAATTAGCTGAATTTAAAACTCAAAACCCGACAGCTATGAAACTACAAATTAGCTTGATAGAAAATACAATTGCATCTATGGCTATTAGCCACAAATGTTGTCTCTTAAGGCTCGAGTTCCTGTTTGGTGCGTATACAATGGCAACCACATGGAAGTGGAGGTCTTCTTCCACAGTGAAAGAAGATCTCATGTTTTGGTTGTGACTTTTACATTATGTGCTTAAAGCCATAAACAATGCTAGTGCATAGTATTTTCTTGTTGATACCAAACACAAGTCATATTGTCACCGGTATACCTGTATCAAATATCCTGTTTCTAACCATCACTGAGGAAAAGGCTGCCTAGTCCAACAAATGATACTTCTGCTTAAAACGTTAAAGGTTATAGAAAGGCTATCTGTTTCTTTGAGATGAGTCTTTTTAAATCCCTAACTGGTAACTTTAAATACATTAAAATCAGAATATGTTTAAAATCTTGTCAAATCCTTTTTTTTTTATGCTTTGATTGAGAGGCTCACCGAGGTCAAGATAATTCAAGTCTGAACATCCTTTGTTACAGGGATAACCATGGAAGTCTGGTGGAAAATGATCTGTGCACATTTGCATAAAATGGGTCATCTCTCATTACAGAAATAGATATTTAATAAAGGCTAATCCTTTTGATTTGTCTTGAACTGTATGTGGGACACTGACATATCTTAACTGGGTGGAATGGAGATGAACAATCTACTTTTTGTGGCCTCTGACAGTCTGAAAGTAATCATGTAGTAAAGATGCCACCCTGGGTGAACGATTTCTATTTGATACATTCTGACAGACAGACAGAAACTAAAAGTTTGTTTGGGAAAAGGAATGAATGGCCAATGTGATCTATAGCAACGTTTGGCCATTTTGAACATGACATCATCACACTACTTTAAACCTCATCAGCTCACCTCAAACTCCTTGATAAAGCTACTGTTGTTTATTCAACCAATCTTATGTAATTCATGAAGGGTTGTGTGTTTGTTTTGTTTGCATTATTCTAACATCGTATTGATGTTAGATGTAAGCTCTTAATCTCTTTTATCCACATCGTACTGACCATGCGTTTGTGTTGTTTGCCTTCAGAAGTGTCAAATAAATCTACCTTGTCCAGGTTTTCTCCATCTGCAGTTTGAATAGGCCTATGTGTTCATAACAAGCTGCACATATGTAGTAGGCCTTAGTAAGAAAGCCAAACTTTTACATCTGAGATGATTGTGTTGTCTGTCCAAACCTTTTTCAACCCAAAAACCTGAAACTGTAGTTAGGCAGGTAGTTAGGCAGGACAAAGCACTGTGATGGCAGAACAAAAAAAAAAAAAGAAAATAGGTCATAATGCAGCTCTCCTCGGGCGGACAGTGATTCACCACTCAGGCTTATGGAGGGAGGCGTTTTTTTCAGCCGACCAGATGATGGTGGAAGCGATGCAGAAACCCACAAAACGATAATCTCATCCGATGCGATCAAGCACTGGTACAGCAGCACAGCATCTCGTGCGTGACTATACTGGGCCCGGTTTCACATAACCATGGCAACCGGGGGACCTCTCGCGCCTGAAATTAGGGGGCGTTGCCGCAGCTACCAAGTAGAAAACAAGTCTCTTCAGAGGTGATACAAAATGGGAAGTTTTCTTCGTGTTTGTGTTAAATGTCTTAACACAGGGCTGGTCTGAGTGTCACACATGTGTAAAAGTTGAATCACACAGGACAGTCGTTGTCCCACACAGGGTAATTTGACACTGCATCATACCCCACAACAGGTGACGGTGCACCGGTGCTGTAGTGCTACTTATTTATACCCCCCTCCCTGGACGGTCAGACTGTCGCTGTATGACAGTACGGCCCATTACTGTGCAGTAGCAGCAGGCCCTTGAGCCTCTCTCTGGTCGGTCACTCACCTCTATCCATTTTTGTGCCTCCTGACAGGCTGGTTCGGGATGGTTCGGTTCCGACCGCTCAGAGTCGTCCCGCGTTGGGGCATTCGGGACATCTCGACCTGCTGCGGGGCTAGCCATCTCCTGGGGGGGGGGCCGGTCGGTTAAAACGAGGACCGGGGGGGAGAGTCAGTGGGACGGTGATGATTAAGATGTGTGCAGTGGTGCTCCCCTCCCCGCTCCGTGAGTCCGTTATATCCTCCTCGCTTCTATCAGTCACCCTCGGCCGTAACTCCGAGCAGTCCGAGGGATTGCTTAGCACTTCTCCTGCTCCCCACGAAGAGAGAGAGAGAGAAAAAAAGAAAGAAAAAAAAAAAGTCTGTCGCGACCCCGACACTGCAACACGAGCCAGGCGCTAAAAATAACAATTCTTGCACGACGCTGCTGCTGTCCGCCGCCGCAGCTGCCGCGCAATTTAGGAAACGTGAACGCGCATGGAGGAATCTATGCGGGGGGGGGAGGTCGAGAGAGATAGAAAGAGATAGGAGAAAGAGAGAGAGAGAGAGAGAGGGAGAGAGAGAGAGAGGGAGAGAGAGAGAGTGATGGTGGGGATTTAAAAAAAAAAAAAAAGTCCCGTTATTTCACAGCTCGCACGCGTCAGCTGGCTTCTTGAGAGTTGCTTCAGTTTCACCTGAGCAAAAGAAAGTGCGCTGGGGGAGCAATTAAGATAGATTTGTCATTACTCCGTTTGAGCCCAATGAAAAGTAGTTTCAGACTGCTATTTATTACAAGGAGTCAAAGGGCCATAACACAATTAGTCTACCTTAAAATCATTTAAAAAAAAAAAATGTTAATGATGCCACAAGGTCAAAGGAAAGACTTCTCCATCAAGCAGAGTCTGTAGCCCATCTTTACCCAGAAATATTTAGATCAAAATTTAGATAAAAATAATCCAATAAATCAGCCTATTAAATATCTTCAATCTTTTTATCAAAAGGTAACCCTCATCAAGAAGCTTAATTTCCTCTAAAATACCTTGTTGTCTAGAATAATAGCTAAAACAAGGTTTTACAGTTGCAAAAAATAAGATTTGGCATGCGTGTTTAAAAAGACAGCACTCATTCACAGTCATTGTTTACAACTGCTACAAAACACAAAATCAATATCCCACAAACTCTTACAATTAGCATTTCATACACCGACTAAATAATGGCCTCAGTAGTCAAGTTGAAAGTAATCAATGCTGTTGATGGAAGTTGCAGCTTTTGCCCTTTGGTATTGAATGCAAATGTGACCTTTTCAAGCAGCAGGTCAAACCTCTGTTTTCTCAGTATGTTGCTCTACCTGAGGGGGGAGGTAAAGTCCTACCAAATAATCAGAGGCACAATTAATGAGGAGACACGTGAATTTTCTATAAAGTGGATAATCATATAAATATTAGATTTTCTGTGTCTGGGAAAGGAATTCAGCATACATGTATGACCTTTCACACAGGACTTTTTCATTACAATAATACAAGTCTTTTGAAGGTCACTAAATAGAATGTCATACTGTGCCTCATGATGGTTTTCTCATGGACAGACAATCTCTCAGCTCTCATTCTCTCCTCCTGTTTCAGCCCTACAAAGCTGAACTGTAGCCAAGAACAGTGAGGATGAGCCCCAAGCTGTGAGAGCCTTAAGACATTCACCACTTCATCACCTCATGTGACAAAAGCATGAATGGGTGTCAGTTAAAATTTACACTGCTGACTGGGGGAAGTCCAAAAAGGAAATGGATTACTTGGGGTTAGAGCAAAACACAGAAAGTTTAGGGTTGCTAGTGATTGTTTTAATCTTTGATTTATCTACCATTTTCAGAACAAAATAGGCCTGAGAGAGAATGTATGAGTATATAAAGTATATAAAAATGTTCAGACTGCTTATTTGGTCAGCAGTTTTAGAAATATATAGACATAACAATTACTAAATATATGGCAGATTAAAAGGTATTCGCAAATGCAGGACTCATAAACACAATCACAGAAGGAGACATGTGCTAGTTTAATGGTTGCTTTATTTAATTTTGACCGCTGCATCAACAATAGAACTAAAGCAAAAATTTGGGGAAAGTGCAGAAAGGTCATCGGTGCACAGCAATGACATACAGTACAATCACCTTGCACTGCACAACAACCCAGCATAGAGAAGCACTTCATTTTGTTGGTCCCTCATTTCAGTTTTGTTTTGCTGATATTGGACACTTATTCTGTTCGTATTCAAACACTATTCATTTTGAACTTCAAATTCAAACTTCTCAAAAGAAACCCAGTTTTTCAAAGAAACATCCGTTAGAAGTGCTGGAACACCACTTAAAAGGCTACGTTCATGTTTCAAACCATATTTCTAAAATTCCTACAGACACATTTGGGCTGTTCTGAGGAATGTCCCATTAGTACAAACTCAACCATACAGCAACAGAAGGCATTTTGAGGGACCCTTTTCTTTTTCTCTTTATTGGCACACAAGGTTTTAAGCAACTTTGTTTGAGTTGAAATCAGAATGCACCAATGACAGCACACAAAAACAATTATAATTTTTTTAAAAACTGCAGAAAACACACATGCACACAGGCCGTGGTGAGATCTGGCCTTGTGTTGTACAATTTTCACTGCTAAATGATGAACACAAAAGGTTTGGACAAGCATGTCTTGGTTAGTGTCAGCAGAACAAAAGGCTTTGATCGTGTATTTGTGTTTGTGTGTAAATGTGCTAAAGAATGCTTTGTTCATGATATGAGAGTACAGTGTGTGGAAACAACATGTGCTTTATAGTGCATAGTGTGTGCAGATGTGTGTTCTCACCGGTCATTATGGATGCTTACTGATTGTGTTTGCCATGTAAATGCTCCAGGACATTTTGGTTTACAATTTTGTTTTGTCTTCTCATGAATATCTAACTTTGACAAAGTGCCACTGCAGAGAAGCGGACCTCTCCTTGCTCTCTCTCCATGAATCCACGGCACACTTCAGCTGCATCCTGGGTGTGAACATGTACAAAAAGGGGAAAAAATAAAAGATATGTTTACTATTATTTTATTTAGCCATATTACAACATGAAGTCCTTTGTTAAAGCACCATACATCTGTGGTGGGTTGCCACAGAGGATGGGCTGTGTTATGGTGGCAATCAAATTTATAGCACATGTTTTTATACTCCCCAGAAGGGCTAGACAAAAAACTTAAAATAGTCATTCAATCATATGGGGCTTTTTAAATGCTTTTTCTTAAATGAGGTCAAATTCTCTCAAGTGTCAAGATTGTTCTATCTTAGTAATATCAGTACAAATATTTGCAGTAACAACAGTGGTGTGATCCAATCAGATCCAATAAATCCTCTCAACATTTTAATGTTGCAATTTTATTACTAATGCATATAGCGCCCTCTTGTGGTGGTTTAAAGCAAACATTGGAAATGTTCTGGAAGGGGACATTAGGCCTTTAGTGACTCTTACTGTAAACAGATGAGCAAATTGGGAACAAACGCATTTTTTGTTACTACACTTTTATCAATCATAGTCATTACTTCTTTTGCAGACAGCCTACGCATGTCATTCATCAAATAATAATAATAATAAAAATATATTCTATTATTTTTAAATATAAAAAGAAAGCTAAAAACAAAAAAAGTATCAGAGACAACAAAAACACTCGTCATCGACAAAATACTCTGCACTCATTTTTGCAGTTTTCATTGTTGGACATGTTGCTAGTTTAGAACATGATAGTTCTGGTCCTGGAAAACATTTTTTTGTGTAATTTTGTAGCTACGTGCCAAATTGCAATCCAGAGACACAAGCCCTATTCAGACTTGCGTTTCGAGGCGCGGTATTAATGTCCCTTTGACGTTTCGCCTTCAATATGAATGTCGCTGAGGCGTTATGATAGGACAAAGTGATCCCCACTCTGTACCCTCTTCAGAGGTTGTAACAGGTGTATAGGGGTCAGATGAAACCATTGGAGCCAGTCTGTGTCTATGTGGAGCTCCCACTGTGCCATGCTCCCTCACGCTTCCGCAATGTCGTAAGGCAATGTGAATTAACCGACTGGGATAACAATATTACGCCGTTACGGAATCAATATGAATGTCTGTAGGCATTATGATGGCAGATCTTAGTTACGGTGAAAAGCAGTCTGAAGAGGGATACAGAGAACACCAAAACACCTGCAGCTGTCTTTTTTACTTACTCAGACAGACGGAGATAAGGTAGAAAATAAGCCAACAATCCCTTTCAGAAATGGCAGTTCATGCATAAGGAGTAACAGAACTTGATGAGTAACAACATTTCTCAAATTGCTACTGTAGTAATACTCAGCATTTTTTCACATGGATAACTTATTTGTATCTTTAAATGTATCCGCCTTCCTGATAGTCTTAACTTTTTATAAATCCTTCTGGAGATTTGATACCGCACATTAGCCACGTTTATTGATTGAACCAAGATTTTCAGGAACTGCCACTCCCTATTCTAGCTCGACACTATGACTCATCCCAGATCTTGTTCATGAAGCAACTTGCTCCACAATCGTATTTCACAAAATGTTAATTTGACCTACCATTACAAATGAGCCATCTTTGGTAGCTCCGTGCTTCACTGGTCCATTCATTTTCCCATCTTATAATAAAAAAAACAGAGAGTGTTAGGGATCCACAGTGTTAAAACATAAACAGTAATACACAGTAAGATGGCAGGCTTACCAAACTCATACAGATGTCCATCTATGTTGACAAAGGCAATAAAGTGGAAGTTGACTTTGTCGGCTTCAGGCTGTGCAAGTTGAAAATTTTGATTTAATATTCAGTAAATTATTACCCAAAAGGTCTGCTAACACATTTGATACGGTGGATAGGTATCTTACCCTACACTGGCCCTGCTGGGCAACCTCATTGTGAGCGTCACGGATTGCCTTAACAGAAAAAAGTCAGAAAATATCAGTTTAATGTTCCTTAAAATCTACAGATAATGACGTACTTACTTAGACAAACTTATTGAATGTTCACATTCCATGTTTTAATATCATTTTAAAGCAGTTATCAAGGTGCCTTTACAAGCTGGAAAGGATTAGTGTCTGGTTCCCCCTGGTGGGTAGAATAAAACATGTAGGTTAAGCAATAGTAACTGAAATTCTACAAACTTAAGTGTTTGTTTTAGGTTTAAGTTTTCTAATCTAGTGTATTTGTTATTGATAAGTTCCATTCATCTATCCATCCATTATCTATACCGCTTTTCTGAGGCGGGGTACACCATGGATTGTTCTCCAGTCAATCACAGGGCTGACATACAGAGAACCAGCCACACTTACATTCACACCTAATGACATTTTACAGTCACCAGTTGACCTAACAAGCATGTCTTTGGACTGTGGGAGGAAGCCGGGGTACCTGGAGAGAACCCCCACATGCACGGGAGAACATGC